ATGTCGTGATAAGCCAGTTACACCACTAGGGCCACACTAGATGTCATGATCATCCAGTTACACCACTAGGACCACACTAGATGTCGTGATAAGCCAGTTACACCACTAGGACCACACTAGATATCGTGATCAGCCAGTTACACCACTAGGACCACACTAGATGTCATGATCAGCCAGTTACACCACCAGGACCACACTAGATGTCATGATCATCCAGTTACACCACTAGGGCCACACTAGATGTCGTGATCAGACAGTTACACCACTAGGGCCACACTAGATGTCGTGATCAGCCAGTTACACCACTAGGGCCACACTAGATGTCGTGATCAGACAGTTACACCACTAGGGCCACACTAGATGTCGTGATAAGCCAGTTACACCACTAGGACCACACTAGATATCGTGATCAGCCAGTTGCACCACTAGGGCCACACTAGATGTCGTGATAAGCCAGTTACACCACTAGGGCCACACTAGATGTCGTGATCAGACAGTTACACCACTAGGGCCACACTAGATGTCGTGATCAGCCAGTTACACCACTAGGACCACACTAGATGTCGTGATCAGCCAGTGACACCACTAGGACCACACTAGATGTCGTGATAAGCCAGTTACACCACTAGGGCCACACTAGATGTCGTGATCAGACAGTTACACCACTAGGGCCACACTAGATGTCGTGATCAGCCAGTTACACCACTAGGACCACACTAGATGTCATGATCAGCCAGTTACACCACTAGGGCCACACTAGATGTCGTGATCAGCCAGTTACACCACTAGGGCCACACTAGATGTCATGATCAGCCAGTTACACCACTAGGGGCCACACTAGATGTCGTGATCAGCCAGTTACACCACTAGGGCCACACTAGATGTCATGATCATCCAGTTACACCACTAGGGCCACACTAGATGTCGTGATCAGCAAGTTACACCACTAGGGCCACACTAGATGTCATGATCAGCCAGTTACACCACTAGGACCACACTAGATGTCATGATCAGCCAGTTACACCACTAGGGCCACACTAGATGTCATGATCATCCAGTTACACCACTAGGGCCACACTAGATGTCATGATCAGCCAGTTACACCACTAGGGCCACACTAGATGTCGTGATCAGCCAGTTACACCACTAGGGCCACACTAGATGTCATGATCATCCAGTTACACCACTAGGGCCACACTAGATGTCGTGATCAGCCAGTTACACCACTAGGGCCACACTAGATGTCATGATCAGCCAGTTACACCACTAGGACCACACTAGATGTCATGATCAGCCAGTTACACCACTAGGGCCACACTAGATGTCGTGATCAGCCAGTTACACCACTAGGGCCACACTAGATGTCGTGATAAGCCAGTTACACCACTAGGACCACACTAGATGTCATGATCAGCCAGTTACACCACTAGGGCCACACTAGATGTCGTGATAAGCCAGTTACACCACTAGGACCACACTAGATGTCATGATCAGCCAGTTACACCACTAGGGCCACACTAGATGTCGTGATAAGCCAGTTACACCACTAGGGCCACACTAGATGTCGTGATCAGCCAGTTACACCACTAGGGCCACACTAGATGTCGTGATCAGCAAGTTACACCACTAGGACCACACTAGATGTCGTGATCAGACAGTTACACCACTAGGGCCACACTAGATGTCGTGATCAGCAAGTTACACCACTAGGACCACACTAGATGTCGTGATCAGACAGTTACACCACTAGGGCCACACTAGATGTCGTGATCAGCCAGTTACACCACTAGGGCCACCCTAGATGTCGTGATCAGACAGTTACACCACTAGGGCCACACTAGATGTCGTGATCATCCAGTTACACCACTAGGGCCACACTTTATGTCGTACTTCCGCCAGCTAGTGATCATCTGTAGTATACTAGACAAGCGTTACACTACATGTCGTAGTTCAACCAGCCAACGACCACATGTAATATACTACACAAGGGTCACGCTAGAAGTCGTACTCCCATGAACCAATGACTGTAATATACGACACGAGGACGACACGAGAGATGTCCGTCACATCTCCAACCCATCTGTAGCAGCAGGATTATGTAGATCTGTAGACGGGGAGAAGTCAAGTACACTTGTCACGGGCGCCCTCGTTACTGGGTGACTGCAGGGAGGGTGAAGCGTAATACGCTGTGTATCTCCCGCTGTTGACTTCCTGCTGCTATACGGTCTTGTAGCATTGCACCAGTCTGTACTATATGCGGTATATATATGACATAGGGATATAATATTGTTTATGATGCCTCCTGATACTTGGTACAGCATTGCTTTATTCCCTTTGTTAAATCTACTCATGTACATGAGAAAGACGTTAAGCCTTTACGGGCCCGGCTTTGTCCGTCCCTTCCGCATTCAATCACAGAGTGAGACGGTAGTGCTAGTGCTTATCTTATATCCTGTTAATCTGACTGAAGACGTCACTGGAATATACAAAAATGTATTTTCCTCTTTTGTTTGCTTTTTTTATAACCGTTACAAGTCTAAAAATACAACCAATTCATACTACTTTCGTGTCTACTATCCAAGTAATACGGAGAAGTCCACTTGCACGAAACGATCTTAGCACAACGATTACCGGAAGTCTCTGTTAGAGGATCGATCATAACGACCATCTTAGCGCTACGATCGCTTTGTTCAAGTGTACCCAGACCCTTATTACAGGTTTAAATTGACCACGAGACCAACAGATAATCCAGCTAGCTGATTGAAAGATTAAAACATTTTTTTTATACGAACACATGAATAGTACACAGAGAACACGAGAACGGACAAATACAAATACAATTTGAATACTATTTTAGAGAGTCTCTCACAGTGGTGTGTACCGAACACTTGATTGCTTCAGTAGCGTGTAGCGCCATATCATGGCTGAATCATTTGTTTACAGTTGCTAGGGAACTGGAGATCAACTGACGATTAGGAGTTTAAAGTCCTTGTCATACGTGCTGACCCTTGTCATGAAGAGCTGCTGGGCTGCTATGTGCCGCTGCCTAATCCGTTAGTACAAGCACATGATGACCTAGATGTGATGCGATAATCAGAGAAGAGGACAAATTATACTCGTATTGTTGTGATAAAAGCGTCCTCTGAAGCCCTCATATCCTGTGTCGCACACTATGGTCCAGTTTAATAACACATCCAGTTTCCTACGGATTATCAGTCTTGATATAAAAAGCATTAACTCTTGTTAACTCAAATCCGTTTACCATGCAATAAAAGTCTGCATTATTGTTTAACAAGGTCGCTTCGTGGTCCCTTGACAACCAGTCAACTGTCATCGTTTTCTAATTATAAGAAATCTGGATATAGCTCAGAGTATGTTCTAAATGCCATTAGTTGCCTGTAGATAACCTAGAATTCATTAGTATTCCATGGGAAAGAATTCCCTATGATCCCATGTGTTGTAAGATCCGGGATCGGGTGGTCAGGATCGGTGACTTGCTTCATTGCTTCTTCGATTAAAGAAGGACAATTATCAGAAACAAATAAAACATAATGTTAAGTATTATTCATAAATCTAAATTTGCTAAGGTCGCAATTAATACGTTAACATCTTTCAAGTGTACATGTATCACGATGTTATTGTAATTAAAAGCGATTCTAAATTTTGAAATACATTAAGGATGTAATGTAATTTCTATAAATACGTCAACACTTTTTACCCCTAAATGTTCCTCTGTTCATCCTACCCATGTCAACTGACCCTTGACCCTAATGGTATATTTGAGAATTATCATCAACACATTAGCAACTGATAACATAAGCTCATAACACCTCTAAAACGTGACTGTGTTACGTGATTAATGTGATAGTGGTGTGTATCTCTACACATTTAATGCCAGAACTCTCTGAGTAATGCCCTATGTGTTCAAGTCATGCTGTTTGTTATACAGGTTTATGAATAATAACTCACAAGTCTCACTTCTAATCTGAAGTGCTTAGGCAACCATATCACGTGGCCTCCCGGACAGGGGCGCCATCGATCTTACACAGTTATACTGGATTAGCCGCTTCAGCTGGTGAGGCATTTCTGGAGAGAAAGGCCGCTGCTGTCTCAAATAGGAATGCTAGTCAACTACCCTGAACGCTGTTATGAGATAAACTTGATGTGCTGAATTGTAATCTGCAACGCACAACACGCCATCGATTGTCAGCCAAATTAACATTGTGTAATAAGATTTGCAATGAATACAACACAAAAACTGACTATTATAAAAAAATTGATAATACGTTGTTGGAAGCGGGGGCTTTGGGGTAGCCTAGTGGTAAAAGCGTTCGCTCTTCACATCGGGTTTGATTCCCCACGTGGGTACAATGTGTGAAGCCCATTTCTGGGGTCCCCCGCCGTGATATTGATGGAGATGATATTGTTGCTAAAAGCGGGGTAAAAACAGTACTCACCCACTGACTGTTTGAAGCGGATGTTTTCCATTATTTGTATATGCATGTGTAGAAATGTTAATGACATTTTTTCATTGACTTTCCATATGGTAGTCGAGACTACCATCACAGATAGGTGTCAATTCAGATTCAGATTCAATCTGTTTTGTAAAGTTTTGTAAAGACCGTCTCGCCTTCCGTTGATGGTGAATAGAACTGAAATCGTGCAGTGAATGAAGTGTAATGCTTTGTTACCAGTATCTCTGCATGTCGGCTTAATGTTTGCGGAAAGTCCAAATGTGATGAAGGTCGTGGAAGTTTAGTACAAATATCCCTGTGCACACGTGTGGTGATGAGATTAACCAAGGACCATAACCAGGATGGATCTTGGATTTAAACCAACGACCAGGCTATCCTTGCATCCAAGGAGCCACGGTGACTACTGGACCATCGAGGTCCCTACATCGGCCTTATGGATCAAACCATCCCAAATACACATCATTATGTAACAGTTTAAAATGTTACCCATGGTACACGTGATGCACTGGTTTCTTTGTTCCTCAGGAAGCAGAGCTAGCGTCGCTGACCGAGCGGAAGTTCCCCCAAGCCGTGCCTCCACCAGACTGTCTCGACCAGGCACACAGGCCAGGCTAGAAATAGATGAGGTAGGAGAAACGTCAAGATGATAGAAACTTACATGACGCACTGTCTAACTGATATAATAGGTTTATTGAAAACACAAAATATGTATCGACATTACAAGGAACATCTGAAGCATATTCGATGATGATGCATTTGATTCGGGTATAATTGTTTTGGACTTTTTGATAACGTTTGTAATGTTTTGGTCAAATTCAATTTTCAAGTGTATACTTTCTTTTACCCAGCAGTTTACATAGAGATTTGTGTTGTGTTAGTCAATGGCTGACAGACGGCTTTTAGGGACTATGTTCCATTCCTGTCTGGTCAGAAGAGTGAAATTGTGAAGTTGTCTATATTAAAAGAAAGAGTGAGTTTATATCCAAACAAAGTGGACGTTCAATGACTTCAATCAAACTTGCTGGGACAGCCAATTAATCCAGACTTGATCCTACTTTCGTTGTGATAACGACTGGTTCGGAAATCGCACGTTCAGGCGACGAGGAGCTACATGTACAATTGCTTATGAGCTCGCTCCGTACTTATCCTAGTATTAAGACAGATTTGAGGAAATCTAGATCCTTAGGTCCACTAACAATCACAAAGCCATTAACACTACAACCCCTTGCCGGCGGGCTACACGCCAGAACACCATCAAGCTAAAGATAACACATATTGTTATGTCTCCAGCTGGAGTCTTTGCTAAAGGAAAAGCTGAAAACCAACTACTATGAGGTCAGGAAGAGGTTCAAGGACAACGACCCTGAGGGCAAGGGCAACGTGTCAAGGTCAGTATCCAGTTCATATGTATAAATACTTTCACCACACACAATGATTTGAATATTTTTTATTTCATATAAAATGCACCTAGTCGACATTATAGTAGCATGTTTGGTATTTAGACAGACTTAAAGAACATATTCGTTGATGCCATTCTGTGTGTCTAAAATGGACATTGGTTGATGGATGCAGAGCTAGAGCTCCTTAACGTAGATACATGTCAAGATACTATCTCCATCCATAACACCATGGATATATCCTTGTGAAGATAAATTTGGTCCGCACATCCCTAAGGGCATTCAAGTACATTTGATTTCGAGCAGTTGAAGAAGAACGCTTTCCAAATGTAATTGTTTTTGCTACTTTTCAGAGAGGCTTTCTGTCGTATACTAATGCTGGTTCTCAACCGCCCAGTCAGCCAGTCTCAGTTCAACAGACTGAGTGAGAGGGTAGGCCTCAAGAACAAGAGCGTCGTCTCCTTCACGGAGTTCTTCAGCCACTTCAGAGAGGTGCCTGGGGAATCGGACTATCCTCAGTGGATGGATCCCGTCAACAGGACAGACAGAGTCACCATGAGTGCTGCATCTGTCCACATGCATCTCAAGGAGAAGGCCAAGCAGAGGTACGGCCCTAGTAAAGAGGCGACAAAACCCTTTCCATATTCAAAAGAAATCTCAGCCAAAAGCAGAGCCGATTGTATGATTTAGACTATATCATGAGCATGTGTTTATTAATCACTATCAAATGGTGATGCTACTAGATGTTCGCGAAAAGGTGAGATACCCTGCCCCACAGTGGCACCCGTCACAAACACATGCAAAGGCAAATAAATTGTTCATCTGAAGAAAAACCTGAAAAAGACAATTTTTTGCATTGCATCGGGCATTGCTTTGGTCGCTGATCCCCCACAACAGACGTTTGTTTACATTTAGGTAAATAAAAACAATCTGTTGTGCCCAGAGAACTTACCACCGATATCTAGTTCAGCTGTGATTACCTGTCCAATGTATCTTGCAATCTTTTGTTCCGCGACGATTGTTGAACTGATAACTTTACGGGAAGATCTACTGAAATATATACACATGTGTCAAGGCATCGAGTGTGTATAGCATTAGGATGATGTCACCGGTTTCTTATATATAAAATATATAATAATTGTTGTTTTAAAATTAGATTCGTAGATGAGTGTTGTGATAGCCTTTAATAAACATTTCTAGGATTTCCATGAGGATGACAAGTCCTACTTTAAGACTATGACCTTCCAGCTAATGTCATAACCCTTGTTTACGTCCTAGATTCCTTGACGTTGCCGACATGTTCCCCCAGATGAACCCTGGCGGGTCTGGCCGCATCCTGAAGCCCGAGTTCAAGCAGCTGCTTAACAAGATGCTCTTCTTCATGGAGGATGACGAGTTTGATAAACTCTGGAACAGGTAGTCGATCTCACTGATTCGTTTTAACCTCTGCTTTACAGTGATGTACGATGACGTCACTTATTGGTTAGAGGTAAAATGCCCTATAAACATCAAACACATTTGTCACATTTACTGGATGTTTTACCAAGGTACGGGCGTTATACCTCACAAGTTAAGAGTCATCTTCCTGAGGCAAGAGAGTTAACTGACTTTAAAAGTCCAGTTTCCACCCTTGCCGAACAGGCTGGAATTCCTGGGCTCGATCGTGGAGCCACCAGCTGTTATTACGAGTTATGTCCCTTCTAAACCTCCCCTATTGACCAATCCACCAATTCCACCTTTCGTATCACTTGCATTTGATTCAAACAAAATGGCGGCGCCCAGTCAAGACGGTCTGATCGATAATCAAGATCTATATTGTGATAAAACGGGTCTTACATCGCAAAGTGCATCAAATCATGCCAGCACCTTGATTAAAATCATGAAAAGATTTGGAAAATATCTGTTGACAACGAGTTGGCGGTGTACATGCTTTGCAAATCCTGCAATCGACCGAAATCAGCATAACAGTTTACGAACCGGATTTCGATTTCGTTGCGCGATTTTGATTGGACTATGCACAGACTCGTCAGCCCAGCCAAAATGTAACTTCATAATCCCAGCCTAGTTCGGCAAGGGTGGAAACTGGACTTTTATAGTCAGTTAACTCCCTTGCCTCGGGAAGATGGTTAAGAGTTAACTCACAATAAATCTAAAACAATCCACATGCTTGCCAAAGGGTTTACTTGGGTTTAACCCTATCTCCTAGTCATTTGTCCGTCGCATTTCAAAAGCCTGAATGAGAGTGTAGCAGTAGATCTTTCAGCACTATTGCAGCTGTATCAAAGCGACATGTTACATTTCGAGTCTGGACCTACCTTGAGTATGAGCAACGGTTCATGGTGAAAGATGACACACGACCGATCAAGTCACACGTTTTACCATCTGATCCTCATTGAGATAAATTCTGATCATCATTAGATACTTTATTTGCTTGACAACGGTATACGGATCTATACCGAAACGTCGTCTTTACAGTATTAAGGAAGTTGTTATCCATAAATTGTGTCTACTTTGTCATCATTAGATACTGTTGATTGGAGTAATCACTGAGGTCATTTTCACATCAGTGTTTCATTTGTTGTGAGTAGGATTAACGTTGGTTTAAACAGATGTCTGTTATACAAGGCGGGTTAAATTGAGTGTAGGCCTATTTGTCGTAGACGCTTTCCATGTTACTTGTACTGACCGATCAAGGTTCTCAATCAATGGAGCTCTTCATACATTACGTATACTGCGTTATTTTAACTGGCTGCAAATATTATTTCTGTGACGATTTCGAAATTGTGATCTCCTGGTATGTCAAACATAAAGGACACGTGATAATTATTTGCGACTATTGACATGCCATGTACCAGAGGCTGCACATCCATGTCTAGATATTCAATATTGCGAGACAACAAGGTGCATATTAAGAGACACGCGTTGTATAATCTGCATCTGCTAAGGTGCAGAGCATGCGGTCACAGATCACACTACCCTTAGGTATTCAGGGACGAATCTGAGGTGCAGTGGGTATTGTTAAAGGGAGGTAATTCACCACTTGTGGTTTCTGCCCCCAGGTATGACTCTGAGGGCACGGGTGTGGTCCAGGGCGCCAAGTTCCTCAAGTCCCTGGGTATAGAGTGGAGGAACACTTCCTCGGAGGGGGTGAGGAAATCCCTGTCGCCCGTCAACGAGGAAGGAGGTGATTGTTTGTTATCTTCATGGAGAATATTTATTAAAGAGAAAAAATATATTTTGTGAAAAATGCTTAAAATGTATTTTGACTAAAGATTTACCTGACATTGTTATAGATAATGCACAGTATTCAAATAAAATAAATTTGATTCTAGATGTTGACATTTTCAGTTCCGTGTGAGGATCTTATCACAATTAAATGTTAACGGAAACTTTCGATGATTGACTTTTAGTTATAGTATCAAAAACATCGTTTACCTCCACACCAACTTAAGGCTCTGTTTAATAAAGAACTTAAGTCGCTCAATGATAGCAGGAAATGATAAATAAGGTTCCAATGAGACGGGTCTGGTCAACCGGCGATGACTACGACTTCCAAGTGCTATTTCTCGAGTTTTCACCATCTTTGAACGTAAATATGCAATGTTACCAGCTAATTGATCATAGATATCTGCTGTTACCATGGTTACTGTATTAGGCAATGCCATTGCTTGATGACCAGTTTATTGTCTTCAAATGATAAGATTAGACAAGCGGTTTATCCGATGTTAAAAGCATCACCATCATGCACAATGCAACTCTATCAGCTGTGCCAGTACGTGTATGTTGTTCATAAAGTGGCGTCGGCCTTCCCCCAGGTATATCAGTCGGTATTACTGAAAGTACACATGGCTTCAGTTTGGACTTTTTTTTTCCCCGTGAGATACCAAATGATGTAATTCTTTGCTTGAACCGGATTTATGTCAAATCCGGACTGCTGTCTAAACCGGACAAATCCTGGTCCCACGCAGGTGCGGTTTAGACAGATTTTACTATATCAGTATACACTACACTTTAACAATAACTTCCCTACCCAAGTCGGAATCCGGTCGCGTAACGATCGCGATCTGTTCCTTATAAGACTGCTTTCTGGTCGCGGACGGATCGCAATCATAAGTCGCGAATTGATCACGATCGAGGGTTCGTTAGTTTTAATGCGTGTAGTTTCTAGCCAATGCAAAATGACAATTCCATGAAAATGAATGAAAGGGAAATGAAATCCCTAAGCCAACAATAATTGTTAAGTCACTTCTCCACCCTGTCCCAGATGGCGCCCCCGTCTCTGAGCGCCGCACCCCCCGGCGCAAGGAGCAGGAGAGGAAGCAGCAGCTGAACATAGAGCGCTGGCTCAAGGACAAGTTCAGGGAGGGTTTCTTCCAGATGAAGGAGTCTTTCGAGGAGCTGGACACCAACAGCACCGGCGTGGTGAGACATTAGACCTGTAGACATCGAGCAATAGTCAACCATCTCCTGACTTTGGTGGCCATATTTCACATTGAGGTGTTGTTTGTTTGTTTGTTGTTTAACGCCGCTATATGACGGCGGTCTGTAAATAATCGAGTCTGGACCAGACAATCCATTGATTGACATCATGAGCATCGATCCACGCCATTGGGATACGGTGACATGCATCAACCAAGTGAGCCTGACCATCCGATCCCGTTAGTCGCCTTTCACGACAAGCATAGTTGCCTTTTACGACAAGCATAGTCGCCTTTTACGGCAAGCATGAATTGCTGAAGACCAATTCTAACCTGGGTCTTCACGGGTCTCATATTGAGGTGAAATGGAAGAAGAAGATTTCAAAGAGCGTCTTGCGACTCTTGTCCAAAAGTTGTTTGACCTGGTTACACCATTATGCGTAAGCTGATGATATATCCGAAATCGAACAATGAAGACCTCTTAATATAAAAAAGGTTTAGTCGCTTTTATTATCTCAACATCTAATATTGTATAATGATTTTCTGATCAAGCGGTCGCACAACCATTTTGATCATATTTAGGTTCATAAGTGCGACCTTGTCTTAAATGACCCAAGCAATGAAGGTGTCAATAACCCTGGCAACGATCGGCGTCAGAATCCAGACGGGGAGCTGATTCAATGCTCAGCTGGATGCTGGTACAATAATATACCAAAATAGTAATTGCTATCATTTATATTCCATTAGTTGATGACATATTGACATATGCTAAGTGAAAATGTTTCGATATATTCAGAAAACATTGTTAATGATATCCATGTTGCCAGGTGTCGTTCGACAACTTCCTAGATGTCCTGAGGCAGTTCGGGCTGAGTCTCGAGAAGCCCCTGCTGGGGTCCTTCCTAGCTCGGTGCAGCGTCCAGGTTGTAGGAAGCGGTGTGCCCTACAGGGAGTTCCTCCACCGGTTCCAGGACCGGAGCGAGAACGGCATGACCCATAACATACTCACCGACAAGAAACACAAGTGAGTCTGCACCCTTGTCAATCCGGACACCGTTGATCTGGAACCTCCCCGAGGTGAAATGGGGTTTTACGTCACGTTAAATACTATTTTACTTGCGTCGTACATTTTTCGAAAATTGAAATGAAGATTTATTTTCACTTATTACCAGCTGGATTGTTCAGATTTAGGAGATGATGTAACAGTACGTATTGGAGCCTAATGTCACCAGTAGTGATATAACAGCATCCATTTACTGTCTCATTACATCGTACGAGTAGCTTCAAATACACATCAATTAATGGTTCATTTATATTTTATTTACTTTTGTTTTATTCACACATTCGAGTCATTCCTCTGTATTCGATGTTGTAATTTTCAAAGGCTGAATATAATGCTGCCGGTTACTTTCATATTATCAAGAACCCTTTTTCTTAGTTTGTACAATTTGGCAGTTCCTATGATCCGTTCAGGAACTATATCACGGAAACAATTTCATTCATGTTGTTCATAGCCTTTAGGTTAAAAACCTGGGCCGGCCGTCCAGAAGGGATATTAAAATCTTTATCGACAGTATTCCTGGCTTGAATGTGTTCGAATAACAATCAAACGGAATAAATGTATATGCATTTTTATTATTTTGAATCACTCAGAATAAAGCCGACAATAAGACACGCGAAAAAATGACACCCTAACTAATTATACGGTCTTGATTTTATATGGATTTTGTTAAAACTTCAAATTCGAGATAGATCCAAAGGTTCTCTGTGTGTGGCAGTACACCAGTAGTAGTACGCTGTGTATCCGGGCATCTACACACTGTACACACTGTCGTGTTCCAGGTACAATCACCCCGGCAGTGTGGACGGTGTCTCCACCGTCAGCGCCATCGAGGCCCAGCTCATGAACATGTTCCAGAGGGACTTCCTGGCGCTCCTCGGCACGTTCAAGTAGGTACCGGTCACATCTGAAGTTACGGCATGACAGATAAACTAGAGTTATGTGAAAGAACCGGTGATCCTTAACTTCTTTAGAGTAGTATATGTCGTAATTCATACTCATGTTTTTCTCGGAAGGCAAACGAAGTGTCGTTCAATTGTTGTGAAATAGCCAATTCCCTTCCACTCTTTTTTCAACCTGAACTAGAAAAAACAAACCTCATCTGTTTTCATATTTAGATATTAGATCTACGCATAGAGATTCAGAGTGACTATCGACAAGACTATATGACAAGAAGGATGACTTCAACTGCCTAATAGTCAACTCTCCCATTATGTTGAGCAATATTCCAGCAGCTGCAGTCTTTCAAGTACAATCGAGCATGCTCTTTCTACGAAGATTTCAAACAGCGTCATAGGACACTTGTTCAGAGTGTTTGTGATAGGTGTTACCGGTGAGGCGGGATAAGCGAGTATTTCGCAAACACACGGTATCGGGTCACATCTATGCCAGTACTGAAGGTGTTGTTGATGTGTCGTTTATCTATGTCAGTACTGGAGGTTATGATGGTGTATCGTAGTACTTGGGGTTGTGTTGATGTGTTGTAGGTCTATGTCAACACTGAAGGACGTATTGATGTGTTGTAGATCTACGTCAGTAGTGAAGGTTATGATGGTGTGTTTTAGGTCTACGTCAGTAGTGGAGGTTATGATGGTGTGTTTTAGGTCCACGTCAGTAGTGGAGGTTATGCTGGCGTGTTGTAGATCTACGTCAGTAGTGAGGGTTATGATGGTGTGTTGTAGATCTACGTCAGTAGTGAAGGTTATGATGGTGTGTTTTAGGTCTACGTCAGTAGTGAGGGTTATGAAGGTGTGTTGTAGATCTACGTCAGTAGTGAGGGTTATGATGGTGTGTTGTAGATCTACGTCAGTAGTGAAGGTTATGATGGTGTGTTGTAGATCTACGTCAGTAGTGAAGGTTATGATGGTGTGTTGTAGATCTACGTCAGTAGTGAAGGTTATGGTGGTGTGTTGTAGATCTACGTCAGTAGTGAGGGTTATGATGGTGTGTTGTAGATCTACGTCAGTAGTGAGGGTTATGGTGGTGTGTTGTAGATCTACGTCAGTAGTGAGGGTTACGATTGTGTGTTGTAGATCTACGTCAGTAGTGAAGGTTATGATGGTGTGTTGTAGATCTACGTCAGTAGTGAAGGTTATGATGGTGTGTTGTAGATCTACGTCAGTAGTGAGGGTTATGATGGTGTGTTGTAGATCTACGTCAGTAGTGAAGGTTATGATGGTGTGTTGTAGATCTACGTCAGTAGTGAAGGTTATGCTGGTGTGTTGTAGATCTACGTCAATAGTGAGGGTTATGATGGTGTGTTGTAGATCTACGTCAGTAGTGGGGGTTATGATGGTGTGTTGTAGATCTACGTCAGTAGTGAAGGTTATGATGGTGTGTTGTAGGTCTACGTCAGTAGTGAAGGTTACGATGGTGTATTGTAGGTCTACGTCAGTAGTGAAGGTTATGATTGTGTGTTGTAGATCTACGTCAGTACTGAAGGTGGTGTTGATGTGTTGTAGGTCTACGTCAGTAGTGAGGGTTATGATGGTGTGTTGTAGATCTACGTCAGTAGTGAGGGTTATGATGGTGTGTTGTAGATCTACGTCAGTACTGAAGGTGGTGTTGATGTGTTGTAGGTCTACGTCAGTAGTGAAGGTTATGATTGTGTGTTGTAGATCTACGTCAGTACTGAAGGTGGTGTTGATGTGTTGTAGGTCTACGTCAGTAGTGAAGGTTATGATGGTGTGTTGTAGATCTACGTCAGTAGTGAGGGTTATGATGGTGTGTTGTAGGTCTACGTCAGTAGTGAAGGTTATGATGGTGTGTTGTAGGTCCATTGACAAGATCGGACAGGACATCATCAGCCAGGAGGAATTCCGTGCCGCCATAGAAAGCCGGTTTAGTCTGGAGCTAACCGACACCCAGTTCGAAGCTTTCACAGACAGAGTACCAATGGACGAAGAAGGAAACGTCAGATATGCAGAGTTCATGCAGCTCTTTGATACAAAGTAAGTTGCTCCATGTCTTGGACTTCTATCATATGTTCCCATGTTTGTTCAGGTGAATGTTTGACTTGCCTTTGCGTGTATTTGTGACGTTTGCCCCAAGTGGGAGAAATACATTCACTTTTACATGAACATCTGTTATCATCACTAATTAATAGGGATTAATAAACACATGTTTATGATATAGTCGGAATCATACAACGGATGTATAATGTCTTATGCTAATGGAAATGGTTTTGTCGCTTGTAATTAAAAAACCACTAAACGTTCTGTAGATCATCTCATGAACTCAATCTCACTGAAATAGCATTTGATGAAATTACCTCATTTATATCTCATTTGTTGGACATGACCTCATTGAAATCTAATTGAAATTATGGACATAAACTCATTTATATCTCATTCGATACTGCCTCATTAAAAACATTCTTGATTACGTGAATAGCTGTTCAGGCTGACATTATATCATTGGCATCGCACCTGATGGACATCGTCTAATTAATGTATTTTATTTGTTGGATATTTTCTCAGTGACATCTCGTTAAATGGAAGCTGTATCGTGGCTTACTAGACAACACAAATTTACAACCTTCCAATAGATAAAATTATTTTTTAATAGTTTTACACACACACGCACATATATATGACGTCAGTATGTTTCCTTTCTCATTTATTTTTTAAATTTACACAGGGGTAAGGCCCAAAGCCTCTTCCAGGGCAAGCGGAAGACAGTCGATACCCTGACCATCCCTCAGCCCGAGCAGTCCCAGTCTCCCCGCCAACCGCTCCACGAGGACGATTTCGAGGACAACTTCGTCAGGAGGACACCCCAGGAAATTTTCAAGGTCATCAAGGACTTGCTGCACCGCAGGTACCAGGATGTGGAGGCCGCCTTCTATGACCTGGACGAGACCAACACCAGACGCTTGACCACAGAGATGATGCACCAGCTACTAAAGAGGTAATGGTATCTGACAGTGTTTGGTGTTGAGAGTTGGCTGGTGTGAAAGTATTTAAGGGGGTTAAAGGAGTGGAATAAAAAGAAAATCCAGTGGAGTCTGCGGAGAAGCGGTTTGGTGGTTCATATGAAGGTTGAGATGACGTAGGGTGGAATATAGAAGGGGGTGGATTGTGGAGGCGTAGAATTTGGAATTTGGAGGAGCGTGAGGGATTGGACAGGTTATGCAAGTAAATTCAATATTGTTCTAGGCAGATTTTAACATCGTATACAACAAAATTATATCCAAGGATTCTACGGGAATGGTTGAGCATTTATTTCAGGAAAAGCACCTCCGGGGACACCAACTACCCAGATTCACACAGTTTAACGACTGTGAGAAACAAAACTGTATCTTCAATGTGATGAATTAACTGATTAACGCCCTTCTTTCTCGCCACCCTGAATATGTTAAACTATTTTGAACTACGTGTTGCACATGTTACAGAGTATCTCATGAACGCCACTGACTAACTGGGACAATGCCACTGAAGTGTTCAAAGCGTTTGGTACACTTGGTATAAAGTGGAGCGTATTTTACTGCTGTTTCCCTTTATGCAATTGCCTCACTTAATCCCAGACACTGGTGTTATTTTCCCAGATTCGACATTCAGCCGGAGGTATCCCGACGTGAAATCCGCGACCTCTGGAAGACCTTCATCACCAACACAGACCGGACTCTCGACTACCTGCAGTTTGTCCGCCATTTCGGCTTCTCCTTGAGGTCCGCCACCTACCCTAACGCCAAACTGAACCCCCCACGGCGGGGGGATGCTGACTACATGCTGAGGTCCAGGAAACTCAACTGTGCATCTGACATGCTGCAAGACAGTCTTCGCTCTAAGGTGAGTTTCAACTAAAGAAGTAAACAGGCTATCGTGTTACTGGATTGTTAGGTCCAGACTCGCTTTCACCAGATTGTCTGGTCCAGACTCGATTGTGTACAGGCCGAGTGCCGTATGGCAGTAGTACTGCTCGGTGTCGCGTTAGCCAACAAACACTTTCTCTATGAAGACGGTGTGAGTGACAGGTGCTATGGGTAGACATGCTCATAGGGGCTTGTACGCCTAAACTAGCAGCAAGATTTTTATGGTCACTAACGGGTCATAGAACTGGTGACCATATATATCTTGCTGATAATTTGTGCGTGTGTTCAGATGAATGTTTGACTTGCCATTGCATGTATTTGTAACGTTTGCCCCCGGTGGAAAAAATACATTGTGAATCACTTTACCTCAATTTTTTCAATTTTTGTGTCACAAACCCTTAGGACATGCTTACCCTCGCGAACACCTGGTGTTATCAGTGATTTTCAGTGAGTGATCCATTCATATAATTTTCATCACTCTTTTGTCCTCTACGCCCAGTGGAATATGTTTCGGCAGATAATCGAGACTGTTTATTCTCTGGCGTCGATTGTTTATATGTAACGGTTGAATCTGTAGACCAATTCATCATGATTATCTTATGACTAATACTGTTAATCCGGTAGCGAACCCCCCAGACCATGTTAATCTGGTAACCTATCAAAGCAATTAAAATGGTGTAATCATTTCCATATCTGTTTTCACCCCTGCCATTAGGTTGACTACATGTGGGAGGACCTACGACGAGAGTTCGTGAACATGGACCCATACAGCACTGGCTTTGTGACCCGGGAGGAGTTTAGGGATGTTCTGACGGAGCTGTGTGTGCATCTGAGCATGATGGAGCTGGACCAGCTCAGTGAGAGGTTCGACATCAGACAGGACGGCAGGTCAGTTACTGACACCCATGTGAAGTGTGCCACACCTCGAACATTGTGTAGCATGCTACCGCCTTCACTGTATACTGTATGCTACAGCTCTCGCTATGTGTTGTATGCAACTCTGGCTATGTGTTGTATGCAACTCTCACAATGTGTTGTATGCAGCTCTCGCAATGTGGTGTATGCAGCTCTCACAATGTGTTGTATGCAGCTCTCACAATGTGTTGTATGCAGCTCTCACAATGTGTTGTATGCAGCTCTCACAATGTGTTGTATGCAGCTCTCGCAATGTGTTGTATACAGCTCTCGCAATGTGTTGTATGCAGCTCTCACAATGTGTTGTATGCGGCTCTTGCAATGTGTTGTATGCAGCTCTCACAAAGTGTTGTATGCAGCTCTCACAATGTGTTGTATGCAGCTCACGCAATGTGTTGTATGCAGCTCTCACAATGTGTTGTATGCGGCTCTTGCAATGTGTTGTATGCAGCTCTCACAATGTGTTGTATGCTACCGCCTTCAATCCAGTGAGCAGGTGAGTGTGGTTGTATATGCTTTTAGCTATATTCCAGCAATACCATGACGGGGGACACTAGGAATGGGGGCACACAGTGTACCCATGTGGGGAATCAAAATCGAACCCGGATCTTCACGAGCGATCGCTTTAACCACGAGGCTACCCCTCCCCCTTTCAATTAAGGCCACTTTAGAATAATAAATGCTCTACTCCCTATACACCCTGTCTCCCTGTGGCTACCAATGTCTCCCTATGTCTTGCAGGGTGTCTTACGTTGAGTTCTTGAAGCCATTTGCCCTGAGAAAGCAGGTCTGGCGTCATGGAAACAACATGTTGTCACTACTGCAGCACCCCCAGCCGGAGCTCCCGATCGCCGATGTTGTGGAACCCCCTCAACAGGGTCTACACGGTATCACCGCCAAACTCCGACAGAAGGTAGGCCTTTTACTCTTTCCTGATTTCAGCCGGGGACCAAAGAAATGGTTAAAGGCGTAGACATGTACAGCTATATATTCTTCTTACTATCTTGCGTAGTTTTCTGTAAATAACTCACAATATATGAAGATGCGCAGGACCCTTCCCCTCAAACAAAAGTCTGGGCACAAGCTCATGTCACATATGCATGGTTCATTAGTACAGAACCTTGAGACATCCTAAAAGAAAGGTTGTTCTACCATTTCGGTGATCAGTTAAAGTTCAGTTCCAAGTTTTTCACTATCAGCGTATGTGCATTCTTCACTGGTGTCACGTCAGATAATGTGAGTAAAATATATCTGAGTATTATCATGATTATGTCCATAAGGTCATTACAATGGACCACAACTTCTTTTCAAAACACTGGAATATATGTGCTTGAATAAAGAGAAAAGGGCCCGAATAAGTCCCTAGCAGTCTGGACATGTCCTGTAAGGATCTGGTGATTGTAACCAGGGTGATTGCATGCCATCGAACCCCGACAGGGTGAATCATTGCTCACAGAACGATTAGCTGGATTATTGCTGACTGCGGCTCAAAACATTCCTTCCCACGTTGTGACGTATTGAACTATTTCTCTTCGCAGCTGGCGGGTGACTGGAAGAATCTACGCCGCGCATTCCGGAAGTTAGACGTGACCGGAAACGGATATTTATCTGTCCCAGAGTTCCGTTCGGTTCTCAAATTGGCGAATGTGCTTCTTGACGAAGACGAGGTTTACCACGTGATGACACAGTTTGATAGAGACATGACAGGCAAAATATCCTACGACAAATTCATTGATGAAACATTTAGGCCTGAAACACGACGAAGTGCAAGACGACCATCTCAAAGTTAAACAGGAAAGGCATCCAAGTGACACTGAGTGTATATAACACATGTGGAAGTATTGATCAGTATTAATACTACTATTGGATTGCTGTCGACATCTCATCAGTATTGGCTATCATACATGTTGTTTTGTACAGAGCTTCATTATTACTAATCGTGTGTCAACGGGACGGTTACAATCATATTTCAAAGGTAGATCATTATATTGTAAAATACTTTGATTTCATGATTTCAAATAGAATATATCGTTCAATTATGATTTGTCCCTATTGTATTCTTTATATTTGTTTTGTATTTAGTGTGTCTGGTTTTGCAAGGAAAAGAAAAAAGAGTCATTTAGCAAAATGTCGTGTCAAGTGTTCTTTTAAAGTGGCTCGGAGAGACCGGCAGTCTTAGCAAACTTGATTCAAGTCTTTGAAACACTTCTTTGCCTTTCCGCTCAGTCACAGTTTATGCGCCGCAATTCGCTGTGCAGACTTTTCGTCCTTTGGGCAAGCCAGAAACCTATGATTGTGGATTCGAATCGACATTCGTCCTGATTATTTTTCTAGGTTTCACAGCACCATACGTGTTCTTGTGGGTTTCACAAAAGTGGTAAACGCCTGAGACCTGCATTACTAAGGGCTTTCTTTCACATTAAGCTGACAACAACCCCTCGATGTAGCTGGAAGACTGTTCAAAGCGGCGTTAGACATAATTCACTTACTCACAGTTTGTGATGTATACTAGTCACACAGTTAAGACACCTACCTGAATATACAGAGGCAATGTCTCAGTCTCACACAAGGCACTAATTACAATGATGTGGCCTGGGCTGAAATGGGAAACAGATCGTGGAACATAGTCCCCCTTTAACTTAGGGGTGTTGAATCTATATCCACGACCCCTCTCGCCAAATACATTGATACGCCAAACTATCAGCGCAAAAGAATGTATATACTTGAAAATTGAGTTTGTCCACACAATTACAAACGTTATCAAAACGTTACAAGGTCGAAAACAGTCGCAGACTTAAGGTCCAAAACACAACTATAATACTCGTATCAAATACACCACCGTCCAATAACCATTTCTTGTTTGTTTCACATTTAAGCTCCATCGAACATGGATTTATATTTTCTTTTGCCCATCAATTTAGATATGCAAACGTCAGTGCTATTCAGTGTTTGATACATGATAATAATCCCAGAAACGTATTTTAAATGTGTTTGATGTTACCGTTTGCCCAACGTCCTACCTATATTTTTAATAATTCTCCAGCTGTAAGATGGTGTTATTGTAACAGTGTGATTTTATTGTGTTCTTTGTGTTAACATATGCATTTTTTGTGATTTATACAGAGAACTCCTCAAAGAAACTGTGATAATTATATTGTTTATATTTTAAGTGTGTAGTTTGTGGTTTGTTAATTGTTAATCATCCTTTGCTCAACTTCATGCCTGACATCATCATATATATTTTGTAAATCAAGATAAATAAACAATGAAAAATTGATATATGATTTCAGTATATATTTATTGATTAAATTCTCTAATTAGGTTTAATAGACTAATATCGGAAAGAAAATATATAAAACATAAAACATTGGCTTTCGAGAATAAAAAATTGAGAATATACAACCACCTCTATACCAAGACATGAAAGACATTTGAAGACAAGTGAAGCACATCAACTTGATTGAAGCACAGTTACTTCAAGTTCAGGTCATCTACTATCTGCCGTCTAGTAGATGTGTTGTAGACAGAGGACGGAAGGGTAGTCTGGTGGCGTTCGCACGTTACGCCCATGGCCCGGGTTCGATTCCCCACATGAGTAGAATGTGTGAACCTATTTCTAATGTCCGGCCCTGATATTGCTGGAGCATTGCTAAAGGCGGCTTAAACCATACTGTAGTATACAGCATTACACCGATCAAGCTGTTGTTGGTATTACCACAAGAAGCATGGACATAAAAGCGATAAAACCCTTTCAATAATCATAAGAAATCTCTGGTAAAGGCAGGGTCCACTGTACCATTCCGACTATAGCATGAGATGTGTGTATATGAATCACCATCAATTAGTGACGATACCAGGTGTTATTGGAAAGGTGAACGTATCCTGCCCCGTCGGTGGCAAAGGCAAGTCCACTGTTCACCTTAAAAAAACAAGGGAGCACGTGGGACAAGTCAAAATAGGGAATTACATCGGACATCATGTTGTTCACTGAATCGTCAAATTTGGAAATGTCACCAACATGTCTTCATAACAACTTTTGAAATCTCTACTAAGTTCTTGAATGTTGCAACCCTGATCAAACGAAATACCTGTCCGAAATTTAATGAGGCACCGTTGTCAAACTTGTGTCACTGCGAATGGTGGTCATACCCGATAATGACAATCGACTCCACGCCACTTTCAGTCTGAGATGACGTTTACAGAGGACATATGTTGACACCGTCATAGTGAATTCATATTTAATTGGAATTTTATAGAAAAAAAGACATTTTCCCCGAAATCCTTGAAAAAAAATGATGCTTCATATCGTTGAAAAAAAAATATGCCTGCCTAACAAATTACAGTGTTTTTCTTAAATGGTTCAATAATCTGTATAAGTAGTTAGATTGCCTGTTTATGTGTTTCAATCATATATTTATCTGTTTTAATGCAAGCCAACAATTGTTCTGACTAAAGCACTGGTGGATATCTTCAGAGCCAGAACCTCTGTTTCCGCAGTTCCACATCACTAGCGACTTACAATAGCTAATTCATCACATGAAGAAGACTGGCGATTCGAGGCTTCAACGCTGCTGCTCTTTAAAAAAAGAGGGGGCAGTTTTACGAACATGAAACTATAGCGTGAGTGAGTGAGTGAGTGAGTATGGTTTTACGCCGCTTTTAACAATATTCCAGCAATATCACGGCGGGGGACACCAGAACTGGGCTTCACACATTGTTCCCATATCGAGAATCGAACCCGGGTCTTCTGCGTGACGAGCGAACGCTTTAACCACTAGGCTACCCGACCGCCCCACTATAGCTAGAAGATATATGGTGTAAATATAACAACTAGTAAATAGAGAGTGTGTGTTCGTGTGAATGCAGTGAGGAAAGCTGTTTATTTTAAGGACATGGTTCCACCTAAAAATGTTAATTTACTTCTTGAAGTTAAAAGACGAAACATAAATACTACTGCCACATCGAACCATTGGTATGATCTTATACATGTTGTAGATCCAATACATTGTGAAGATCAGTAAACAGGACAATACTCGGACGAATACCACTGGAAAATACGAACAACTCCGATTTAAGATACCGAGTTCAAATATCCCGTGTAATGTATGCCTTAACAAGATACATGTAAAGGATAGTAATGTGTTTGAATTTTGTAGAAGTGTAGATACCATAAGACATTATCTATTTTATTGCCAAACTGTTTGCCCTTTTGGTTGGATATCTTCAGGTTGTCCAGAGTTCATATCCATGACAAAACATATAATTACAGGAATTTGTCGGTTTCTTATTTAACGCCTCACTCAGCAATACCAGTATTCCTGATATATGACGGTGGTCGGTAAATAATCAAGTCTGTACCAGACAAGATAATTACAGGAATATTGTTTAGTATGGTGTCGGTGAAGATACGATGATTTTCTGAAGATATGAATTATTTGTTGCCAGCTTAATTTAGTATGTACTCATGTAAATTAACTGGTGTAAGTTAACTGGAAATGACGGTCATTTTACTGTCTCCCGAAAATAGTTATCATTACGTTACAAATTACTGAAGTAAGTCAAGTCACCCACTGCTTCCAAACTAAAAACTGTTCTTGGCGTCAATAGATAAATAGTATCATTCTATTTACTTATAACATGAAAACTACTATCCACGATACGCCTGTCCACGTGGTTCTGTACACGGTTGTAAAAACGTGGAATTCTCATGTAAAGACGCTAGATTCTTAAAAAGAAAATATGGGAAAAAGGTTACGTTTGTTTTAGAAGCATGTTCTGGATCATCCTCAATAAACATGTTTTGCTAATAGAGTCCATCTTATGTGTAGGACCGATTTATGGTGTAGGATGGATGCTGGTACCTTTCAGCGTTGTTGAAAGTAGTGAGTGGGTACGAGTTACGCCGCTTTTAGCAATATAACAGTAATATCACGGCGGGGACACCAGAAATGGGCTTCACACATTTTACCCATGTGGGTCTAAATGGCGTGACGAGCGAGCGCTTTAACCCCTAGGCTATCCCGACGCCCCTTGTTGAAATGAACATTTTAGACTTCTTCGCATAACGCCAGTTGCTAGTGTCAGCTTAGTTATTGTGTGAAGGTAGTGCCAGTGGTTTTATTTTTGTGGGGTTTTTATTATCCGAAAGAGGGTGGTGCTCAATTAATGCTCATGTGTATAAAATATGAATTCTTTGATAGCGCAAATCGCTTGTTTAAACTACATGTTGTTCACAGGCGTGAGATGTTCCTCCATCGATACCAATATCCGTGTTCTAGTGGTAAGGCGTCTTCCCGAAGAGCGGAAGGTCTGGGATTCGATCCCGGCCGAGTCATACTTGGTACTTGTTACCCTGTCTCGCGCTCGGCATTAGGGCTAAAACAAGGACTGGTCGGCTCGGAGTCAGTATTCTGTGTCTGAGTGGAGATTCGTGTTAAAATGCATGGTATCTCAGTGGGCTAGCACTATAAAACCGGCGTAAGTCAGGACAAGTACAAGCAGACACACAGACACACGCGTTCATTCACGTCGCAATATCAGTCCAACAATCGTGAACGCGACGTTAAATCTCATTTCACCTCAACTAACCCTATCTAAACATGATGCAAGCTACTGCCAACTACATACATAAGCATCATGGATATTGGCCCATCAATACATCTTATACTCATTTGTACTTAAGTTCCAATGGCAGATAAGAATTTGTCATTAGAAGGATTGTGTGTATATGGCATGTTTCCAGTCACCGTCAATAATATACAGGTTTTCTATATTATAATAATTTGCATTTAGATATTGTAAACTGTCACATATACTTAGATGATGGCAGGCCTGTTTACTTAGTAGCCCATTTCACATGGACAAATTTGCTAACATGTGTACTTGTTTTCATATATGGGGATTAACCAAGTATCCACACCGTTTTTGCTTGTACCTCTAAGTCTTGAAGTTCATTCTTATCAAGGTAGATCTGGGTAACTGAAAGCAGTTTTAATGAATGCGGGGGTTCATATTTTCATTGCCCTTTATAAGTTCATTTAAGGATTGGCTGTAAATATTTTTCGGTTCGAGTTATGAATCGAAAAACAGACATGCAAACTATGAATCCGCGGATACATAGTCTGCCCATCGGCTTTTCTTTATTCATACCTCAACGAACAGAAAAGAATAGTCCATCCTTTAAATGACGCGGTCTCTGGTCAAACGGACGGCTCAGTCTGTATGGTATAAATGGTATATGGTGTAAACGTTACATCAACACAATATTGATCAATAACATCAGCACAGTAAACGTTACATTTATATATCATAGAACGGCTTTTGTTTTATAGGCTGAGCATTATATTAACAATACAGGTGTGTGTACACGTGCAACAGAATTTTTGATTGTAACGACTGAATTAGTTTTATTCAAAAATCACGTCCATGATGGATGGTTGCGACCCCGTCAATGATAAGTGTCTTGGCCAGAATGATCACCATACAAAAACCATTTCTACGTTTTTTATGAATCCATTTTTTTTCATATGCCTGCAATAATCTACTGATATATATTCAATAAGGTTGGTTCTTCTTCATATTTCTGCTGGTGATCTACCACAAAAGGAACTTGAAACCACTGTTCACCTTCCAGGATATTGAAAAGAAGTGGGACACATGATGGATGCAACATCAGGTATTATTAACTCGTATTAACCGCGCACAGTATGAACTGCTAGCAGAAATGATAAAGTATAACAGATTTATTGCACAGACTGAGACAGACGAGATAATCCAACAGACGCATCCACCCCTTCAAGTGAACTCGGATTGTGAACACAACAATATCAAGATCGGTTTTACAGACACTTAGTTGCAATCTCTCATACACCTGGTCATTTATGTGTGTACACAAAGAATAAATTGCACGCAACATTTTACATTTTATTATGAAACAACATATTCAATTGAGTATAAAATGTATGGACTTACTGATTGAACTATGTTCAAATTAAAAAGATAACATCTGAGGCAGTTTCCTCAACAGGACCTAATCACTTTTCATTCTTGATAAATGAGAAAATAAATGATCTTTGAAATGTTTGAAGTACCTTGCCATTAACATTCTGAGGTCAAAACAGGTAATTACTGAGTATTAAAACGCATCAATAAGAAGTATCCTTAATGAAAATGGAAACAAATTTTAACCCACTGGATACATACATTTTGATTATCTAAATATCCAATTGTGCTCAATAAGAAATCATTTATTTCATATCTTAAAGCTTAAATATGAATTTGTCTTGATTGTAATATCTAACAATTATGTTCACATTTCCAACTTAATTATGATATGGTTTTATACCTAACTTAATATTGCCAGCAGACCTAAAACAATATTGTAATATTGTTTTATTGGCAAGTTATCAAATATAAAAATAATGCTGTTCTTATTTTCAAATAAAATTTAACAGAAAACACAGATGCTTGTCACAGATGAACAAATGTGAAGTTAAAATGGGTTTCAATGTAAGACACATTGATCATGAATAAAATAAAACAATTCAGTGTCTAAGCAACATGTACACATCACACTTGCTTCCAAATACACCAACTAGAAAACTTTCTTTGACACAAATGTTCAACTCTTTAAGTGTTCCTAAAAGATTATCATAATATTCCAGTTCAGCATAAGAACAGCCAACAGTTCTGGTATAGTAAAACAGATTTTTGGTTTCCTGACACACCTGACACAGCTTGATTACTACATGTTATTCCTAATGATATATAAGTACCAAAACATAGCCTTCAACAGGTTGCCATAATATATGTATCACAATTACATAAAGATGCATAAGTACATGACTCTGACAACTGTTGAAAAATCAGGCATTTTGTTTTAATCTTTAAATGTCATGTATTATAATGCAAGTTTAAAAAAAGAAACATTACAAGCCTGTGTTCTAAACGCTCTTATGTTAGAAGTATTGACATGTATCAATGTTTGACAAAACCTTCCATAGTTGCTGACGCTGGTGAAACCAGTCTCAGTAAACGACATACAAGCACCCTGTCAATCATTTTAGACCAACTCTCTGTGCTACCAGCCCTCTCGCCATGCTGATTGAGTGAGCAATGCTCCACATATTGTTGTATTACTTACACAAATGGTGAAGTTGGGAAAGTCTTCCCTAGATGTCTCCCATCCAATTTGTAACTTTATTAAACAATGCCACAGGTCCAATTTTAGGTTGTTTTTATTCCAATAATGTCGTAAGAATTTGGTATTTTTTAAAGTTGTATTCTTGCATGAACATCTTTTTAGAAATAAGTATAATTTCATACTTCACAGATTTTCACAAACTATCTAGGGTTGTCAAATTGTTATCAACGCTTATCCTTCTACTCGTCAACATTGTTCTATTTCTAGGTATCAGTAGTTATTACTTCATATTTCTATGCACAAATATAAACATGGTAGCAATAATTCAGACAGCTTATCTGCAAGCATTGGTCTTCAATTTTATATTTTATATTTTCGACTCAATTAAGAGACACTAGGTTACTTTTCCTGTCAGCTCAAATATGCTTGAGGCATAAAGATGGTCTCATGTGGGTCAGACTTCTGAATGAAAGTGTTAACTGTCTAATAAAGCAGAAACAAACAATAATATGATGATGAAACACACACACACGTTAGAACAATGCACTCATACAGGCTGACTAGATATCCACACGCTCAAACATTTTTTGAAAACTGTTAGTATGCAAAGGCTCCACATGAAATTGACCTCCTTTATCAAAGAGTGAAGACAATTGATGTAGAAATATTTCAATTATTGCAAGTAGATCTCATGTAGATTGCATGTTTATTTTCTTGCCAAAACACTCTGAATACTACATTTGCTAACTTATCATATCAACATCATCATCCAACTGGTTCTAAAATCCTTCTAAAATCACAGACATTAACATAAAATATGAAATAAATAATAATTGTGGGACAGCTCAACCTACAAAACATACTGGAACTCATTGGTCCAACTAAAAACTGAATGATCACAGAAACAAACGTTCAGACATCTTCATCCTGGCAGTTGAATGAGCATGACAACAAAGTACATCGTTACCATCACACTGTTAGTCCTGTTGGAGGAGTGCCGACTGTTATTAAAACTCATGTAAACATATATGAGCACCACATGCTCTTCACTGAGTCCTTTGATTATGCAAGCACAACAGAACAAGCCTATTTACATTCCCTGAGATGTGGCAGTGTTGTCTGGAATGGAGAGATTCATCTGAATGAACAGTGTGATGTTTGCTTACAGGAAGAACAACCTGTCGGACAGCAGTTCACTTGGCTCCTTGTGAATACTCTGGCCAACCAAATATGCAAGTTTGTGAGCATACTGAAAACAAAAAGTAAGTGTCATAATTATTATGATAGATATATACATATTCACATTCACAATTAATAACTGTACTGTATGTGTAAAAGTACTATTAGAAACCTAACTTGCGGGATAATCACACAATCAATATATTCAAGTAAAATAATGCCTCTTATTTCACGTTCCAGTCTCCACTATTTTACATGTATAACTACAGCCTGTAAGAAATTGAATCTGGACCATCAAACCAGTCATTGATAACATGGTCAACGAATGACACCATGGCACCCAACGTCACACAATTAGTGAGGTCCACATTCTAACCCAATCCTCATTAGATGACTTTGGACAATCATTGGGTACTGGGGACCGACTTGACCCCAGAATCCCAACTTACAGATTCAAATACAAGCACAAACGTTTCTCATGATTCAATGTAACAACAATATAGCAGGTCTTCAAGGAGATAATTATACAGGTATTTCCAAAGTCCTGGTAGAATGACAAGTACACCATTTACCTGGCAAGGTGCTGGTACTCTGACTGTGCCTGGCCAGTTGTAATACATGTGGGTCATCTTGTAGGCCAGCCTCTGCATGTGGTCTGCCTTCATGCCACTGCCATCATGAACAACGATGTAATGGGTAGGGGACACAGTTCCCTGCCTCACATGTTGGGACACCAGAAAGAAGTCATACCTAAAAATCAAACAGATCTTCCCCATTGTAAACTGCAAAAACTCATTTACGTCATTAATCAGTGTGATGCTGTAAGTGGGAAAATATTCTGAATTTCAATACTTTCTACTCATTCCATGGATACAGTCTGTGCTATAACCATAGCTAAAACAGACTACAAACCAAACTTGGCTCTTAGCATCATTTTCAGTAGAGCATATTGTTATCATGTAGACTATTGTTAGCTGAGTTTACTAGACCAAACATAATTTTACTTGGCTCAGTCTTCGGATTTATGGCTAAAGTTGCAGACTGTAGATACCTTATGTATTTGAGTTGGTCATAATGACAGTGAATGGTTTTCTAACAATACTCACTCAAATACTAGATGTTACTGAACTTGATAGAAAATTTTCATGTCATAGTACTTATTACTTTACAATATGACTTCAAATATTGCAAAAACAATAGGAATGTGCCTAAAAATATTTGAAAATTTTATTTGATACAATCAGTGCATTCTCAATGACAAACTTCCACATACCAATCTCTACGGGTGATAGTGTGGTCCATGACACTTCCAGGCGGTGGGTTGTCTACTCTGTTACTTCCAGTCTACAAGAAAATACAAACTTACAGATGGAACAAGAAACAATCAATTCACAGAGAGGTTCCATTAATTAATTATTTTTGGACATGATCAGTCTCTCACCCAAACAGAGGTTCTGAGCAAGCTGAACAATGGCACTAGTGCAATCATGTCCTCAAGTAGATTCAACTAGCATTCTGTGTTCCATATAAATCAATCACAAGTAGTTAATCAATTAATACATCAATCTAAAAACATACTTGGTAGAAGAGTCTGGTGTTGATTCTCTTCTGGACAACCACTACAGACAGTTTGGGCTCATAGTTGGGGAAGTGCATGAAACATGTGGCCAGCTGCTTGACTTCATGTTCAGACACGACCTTCAGCTGTCCATCCCCAACTCCGTCACGGTACACGAGGATTTTCTCAGGCAGCTTGTGATTAATCTGAAAGTGGCAAAGTAAGATAGTTTTCCAGGGTTTTCACATTCAAATGCCATTTGCAATCCAACTGACCATACAGATCTTTACATAAACTTGATATCGTATTTTCTTGAGTATAGTGCGCACTTTTTTTCGAAAAAACACAGCTGTGTAGAAGGGGGTGCACATTATACACGAATTATGAGTTTGGATGTTTTTTTCCCCCATGGAAAGACATTACCGTGAGCACGAAACACCGGAAATACCATGTCAACAAATCCATACTGAAGTACGCAAAATAATCATGTAATTACACTGTCTGGCTATAAAAAGTGTTAATTGTATATCTGGACTTATGTTTGTAACTTATTTCATTAATTTTATTCAAAATTCCTTATAATATTATTTTTATTAATTTTGGCGAAATCGTGTGTGAAGCGATCGGAAGATCGCACAGCTCACCGTTATTAACAGCAACCACGGTCAGAATACCGCTATTGACGCCTTGAAATGAACTTTAGTTGACAGAGAATGGATACATATATCATAAATGACATACTTTGACTCGTTAAAAGTCATATTTGTTTTTGTTTGACGATTCTATGTCAACATGAAATTCTCGCGATCACGTGCGCGTGAGCCTTGACGGTGACTGGTCAGACTGGTTCCATGTAAAAAATAATACCCGGGAATAGCGATCAGCTGCTTCGCTTAGAGTTATTATTATTTTAAATATGTTTAGTAAAGGGTGCATATAATTAAGAAAATAATGGAATATATTATTCCTGATTAAAAAAAATAGTCTCAGATACAATTGTTGCCGATCCTTGCATTAAAAATCCTATAAAGTTACATCCTTGGGTGTGTCTTGACCGAATCACCGGTCGATTCCAAGAAAACGTGTGTACAGCTGATTGCTGTTTCCGGCTTAGTTTACGAGAAAATACACAAGGTAATCCTAATCCCTAGATATAAAACAATGCCTAGCAGAACAATAAATACTATTTAAACGTTGAATGAACATGTCTGGTGATTTTTTATCTCAAATTTGAATTTGTATTGACGAAGTTTCTCAGCACCCATTCGGTTGCCGGACTTCGCTGAAAGGGTACGGTGTAAAATTTTTCTGTGCATAATATTTAAATTTCTTTTTTTCCAAAATATTGAACCCGCTAGAGGGGGGTGCGCATTATACATGGTTGCGCACTAGACTCAAGAAAATATGGTATATCATGAAAACCTTTTCCACCTCACCACTGAACATTGACCAGGACCTACCTCATGGTATGTTCTAAGAGCCGACAGAAGACTTGTCTTTAGTCCATTGACCAATTCTTCATGTGGCACCTGGAAGTGTACTCGGCTAAACCAACGGGTGCATGTGCGGTTGGTGCTAGCAACGAACCCAGCTATGGAGCGTTTGCCCTTTGATGCGTCATGAAACACATCGATTCCCACGATCATCAGATCTTTCTGTTAATCATAAATTTGAACATTATTTCATCTTTGTGTGAGGATAAGCACCTGCCAAAATTGCAAGGGTAAACAATAGAATGGATGCTTTTCCTTTTGGTATAAAATATTTTTCCTGAATGATGAACAGGTCAAACGTCATGTTACAGCTTAAAGTAGGGATAGACAGCATAGATCACAAAACTACAATCAATTTTGAAAATCACAAAGCTAAATACAGATAATCACACTTGCAAACATCTACAAACAGCCATTTTGAATAATACATGTAGTCAATCCTAGTTAACCAGGACACAGACACAGAACTAGACAATTAAGATGACATATCTCCATGGTCCAATCAGAATTCTTATAGGCACAATGTTCTAACAAGAGCATTCACCTTGTCTCAAACTACAGACAACTCAATTATATTTATGGTGGGCCCCTAGAGCTTCGAGCAAAATTTAATGTACTGAATATAATAAGATATATTGAAGTCTAATCCAGTTTCATGAATGCAGAGTATTTAGTGATCCAAATCAATGTACAAAATAACAAGAATTGCTTTCATCAGCTTCATAAGAAAAATAAAATTCAAAGCTATTTCACTTGTTTATAATTTTCAACCTTTTTTATATGCATTTGACTGTATTTATAACTAATGCATAAGCTTTATTACATAAAGTTAGAAGTTCTACTCTTTCACATGGGCAGTGAGCTATATCCATGCAGATTATACACATTTCTACCAAAATCTTCACCAGAGGAATCTCTAAGGCCCACAGCTCTCCACCAAGCTTGCAGTTCATTTGAAGAGCAATCTTCTGAGTCACACTTCGCAGTTTGTTTTGATTTCCAATTGTTTTGGAGATAATAACCTGGAAGACAAATGAAGGATTACATGAAGTGTGTAAATGTTTTAATGCCACAGTGGCCTGTAAATAATCCAGGTATAGACCCTGACCACCTTTCCCCATTTGCTGGTGTTTACTGCGTATTACTAGAAGAAATACTGGGAATTTAGGGGTTGGCAGGGATTTTATCGTTTCTTTGAAAGGAGGTGCCAAACCAATTTTTTCAAATCCACAGTCCATTTTCTTTGTCAGGACATGCAGAAACCCATGAAACCCATAAATTTTCAAAAACATTGCAGTACTGGCCTAAGACAATTATGGTCTTATGATCCTCAAGTTCTCAGACTATAGTCCTGATCGTATGCATTGATTAACCTCTCAATCCTGTTTGTTTTGTTGGTTAATCAACGCTGCACTCAGCAACATTCCACCTAAATGACGGTCTGTAAATAATCAAGACTAGCCCAGACAATCCAGTGATTGACATCATGAGCATCGATCCAAGCAATTGGGATATGTGACATGCATCAACCAAGTCAGCGAGTCTGACCACCAGATCCTGTTAGACGCCTCTTACGACAAGCATGGGTAGCTGAAGACCAATTCTAACCCGGGTCTTCACGGGTTCCTCTCAATCCTGAGAACAAGGACCTATGAACCCTGATGTATTTTTATGATATCATCATGAGCATAACAAAATGAAATTGCAGATTAATCTTTTCTTATCAATATAATTGAAGGCACGATGAGGCCATTCTGTATGGCGTACTATCAACAGAATATGTCCAATGCATACCTGTGAAGGCACAGGACATTCAACACAGCAAAACTTCTTAATTGCTGAGTACCTATCATCTCGGCTGGTCGGACAGATCACAACAACCATTTGAACCTACAATCAAATAATAGAAAAATGTACTAAAAAACAATATATATATCTACATATCTATAGACTAAAAATCTTTTTTAACATGTTTTGTCCAGAACAAATGCATAGTTTTCAATGACTTGTTCATCTATAATCATCAGACAAATACCAATCCATATTAGATTAGTTACATCCTGATTCAACAACCAGAGGGGGCACAGGTGGTCCAGTAGCTTAAAGCGGCGGAATTCTGTGTGCTGAGTTGTGTTCTTTGGGCAGGGCAGAAACCTGTGATTGCTGGTTCAATTCCCGGTTCACCCAATAATGTTTCTAGGTTTGTCAGCACCATACCCATGATCATTTTGTTTGTTTGTTTGTTGTTTAACGCCGCACTCACCAATATTCCAGCTATATGACGGCAGACTGTAAAATAATCGAGTCGGGACCAGACAATCCAGTAATTGACATCATGAACATCGATCCATGCAATTGGGATCGATGATATGCATCAACCAAGTCAGCGAGCCTGACCACTCGATCCCGTTAGTCGCCTTTTACGTCAAGCATAGTCGCCTTTTACGGCAAGTATGGGTTGCTGAAGACCTATTCTACCCCGGAATCTTCACGGGTCATACCCATGATCATGGGATCATGCATCTGAGACATGCATCACTTCAGGGTTTCTTCCAATATTCAGCTGACACACAGGGAGGTAACTGGAATATTTGTTCCCTCGTTATTGCGCCCTTCAGTTATAGCAAGCGGTAAAGCATGGCTCCCAAAATTTTGTGCAAAAACGTGTGCACAGCTGATTGCTATTTCAGGCTTAGTTTATGAGAAAATACACACAGTTATCTTAATCTCTGCATATAAAACAATGCCTTTGAGAGCAGGAAATATATTTTAAATGGTAAATCAACATGTCTGGTGATGTTTTATATCAAATTTCATACTTTTATTGACCAAGTTTGTTATAGATCTACCTGCTTATTCACCTGAAGGGATACAATGTTTTTGTTTTTTTGAAAGCGCATATTAATACTCGATAAACCTTATTTTACACTATGAATATCATAAATAACTTCTATTCTAATCTTTTTTGAAACTCTGAAACGTGCAACGTAGATCATGTTAGGTAGGCAGAGCATGTATACTGTTTTGTTGGTCATCTACCACCTACGACTCGACCTTCGTTAAACTGCTGATCATGTATAACGCTCATCAATTATTTGGACCCCGAAGGTAGCCTTGTAGCAAGGGATCACTGTACTGTTAAAAGTGGCAGTAAAACTGACTAACTCACTCACTCAACCACCAGAATATTCCTCTGCAGGAATAGTCAAATGAGGCTGACATACCCGATTTTATGCCCGATTTGATCCTGTGGTATATACTCCCGACAAAAAATAAGGGAACTAATGATTTGAATGTAGCTATTGCTGAGATGTACATCTACAATACTGATGCTTTTCATCTGAATGCAACATCTAGGCCAAAGTGTGTGCGTCTATAGGGAAACTCAGAATCACTAATGCAACTGATCTAAGCACAGTCAGTCCGACACACTATCTCAATGAACAGACAATATCCCAAGTTGCCCGAATGTTTGGCAAGTGTTTCATTCAAAAAGTGTAATTTCTTGACTGTTGGACATGTACCCGTCAATTGCATGTGGTTGCAATGAGAAATAAAATTCAAAGCTCATTGTATGCATGTATTATGAACACACTGGCAGTCCAACGGTAGTCAAATACAGTATTCCAGTATTTCAGTCATCAAGGAATACATCTTCCCATTATATTTTCAAAAAACTTTCCCCAAGAATCAATTCTTTTAAGTTTTTTAAGCCTTAATTTTAGACATTTAGTGTCATTACATCTTCCCTATCATGTTGTCAGTTCCCTTTTTATTTATTGGTAGCATATGTTCACGTTACTTCTTATACTATCTTGTTCTTTGTACACCATTAGACTAGAATGGTTTATCCTCATTAATGATCCTTAGTTGACTGCATTCAATGCTGAATCCTACATTGTCTGTTTAATTTCTTGACCTGTATTTTTTACTTCAGTGAGTGAGTGAGTGAGTTTGGTTTTACGCCACTTTTAGCAATATTCCAGCAATATCACGGCGGGGGACACCAGAAATGGGCTTCACACATTGTACACATGTCGGGAATCGAACCCGGGTCTTCGGCGTGACGAGCGAACGCTTTAACCACTAGGCTACCCGACCGCCCTTTTACTTCAGTATGAAATATAAGAACAATTGAGATGAACCAAGCTTTTACTCACAGATCATATAAATCATTTTCATTATGTTCACAGTGAGTCTTTTAAAATAAGCTAATCTTTACACTTACCCTTGGGTTGACGTTTTCCCGCAAACTTCTTACAAATGTCTCTGTGCGATCATCTTTCAAATCCCGTTTTAATGGATCTTGAATTTGAATGCCCATTTGTGGACCCACTGTTTTCATCATCTGGATATAGTCAACAGCTCTGGGCGTATCTCTCTTAGTGAAGAAGACAATCCAGTTGCGAAGATCAACTGCAACAAGCACTGAAGATCGGGTCACTTCTCGCCCAAAATCAGCTTCCGGACCAGCCATGAAATCTTTACGATGCATTTTTATCTTTTCTTCTTTCAACAGGCGACCCTCAATCTATAAACATGATAAGGACAGTGATACAGGTTATTAAAGTACAAATAACAATACCTTAATCAATGTGTAGAACCACTGACTTGCAATGAATAGATATAGTTAAAATGACAAAAGAAAATATATACTTCTTATGACGGCGGCCTGTAAATAATGGCGTCTGAACCAGACAATACAGTGATTGGTTTTATGATCAATGATCCATGATGTCAGGGTACAACGTTGACATGCAATAAACCAAGTCACTGAGTCTGACCATCTTATGACCAGCATGGGTAGCTGGATATCAATTCTAAACCAGTATCGTCACACTTGAGGGACAGAACAAAAGCAGATCAAAAGTGTTGGAAGAAATATGCAAATACAATTGACATATTTCTTGACATGTCTATAACATTACAACAGTAGTCATAATTATTGGGCAAGGTATTGAATATTAGTAAAATCTAAATATTTTTTACATTTGTATACTTATCCTGCATTACTCCTTAATGCATTCACTGCTTACCTTGCGACAACTAGAAGGACAGCGCTGCGAAGGTCCTGGGTGAAGAAATAAAGTTGTTGTTGTTCTCAAGTCCCAAATAGTGGCCTTCCGTCGCTGTCCTGTGACCTTGATGACACCAAGGTTATCTTCACATCACTGCTTGTCGCCCAAGCTCTTAGAAAAACATACTATTGAGTTTTCTGAAGCCAAAGTGGGGAGGCAAGTCTTGAGACGGGTGGGCCTTAAACGTAGTAATGCAGGATAAGTATACAAATGTAAAAAATATTTAGATTTTACTAAATTTTTTACTTATCCTGCATTACTCCTTAATGCATCTGTATCGGACGGATTGGAGGTGGGTAAACCTTCAGAATACAGATACCTCAATATTTCACACCCTGCAATACGACACCAGTTGGTCGATAAACCGTGAAGCGAAAAGGTTCAGAAGAAAACGCCATTACGGTAGGGTTGTTCAAAAATCAAAAAGATTGAACATAGGAATTAAAGAGAATTTCCCTATACACGCTTAGTAATAAAGAAAATAATAGCTATTCAGCTAATTCTTTACTTACTACGTCATAGAGCCGTCGTTGACAAACAAGATATTCTTCCACTGGCGGCGACTGAGTGACTGCACATGGAAGTTGACTGGCTCTGTATAGGGCGGGTTCATTATTTGCGTCAGAGGTTGGCAACCTGCAGGATACCAACCAGAGGGCCAAACTTCGCACGTCTTCGACATCCTCGAGAGCCCCAACGCGAAGGTTATGACTAACGAAAATCTGTGTCGAATCTCCAGAAATATCCTTCCGTGAGTGTTCCAAAACCACAATTGCCGTGTTGAGCCCTGGTAAGGCTGACACCGAGATCTTGAGGGTAATTCGCTCTCGCAATTCCGTTTAGCGATCTCGTAGGCCTGAAGGATTACTGCGCGTAACCATAGAGATATGGTGTTTGCGACTATGCGATTATCTTCGGTCGTGGACGAAGTACATACGGGTATCAATGACCACGCCTAGTCTTGGAGCGTCAATTGAAAACTGGAACTGCTCGCACCGAGCCCTGAAGAAATTCACCATGTACGATTCCCACAATAGTCGATATCAGTGGGATGGTGAAGGAACGGTCGGGTTGGCCTGGTAGTAGATTTTAGCAATAAAATCCCAGCATAACCCTAGATGTCCCGTTCCGTTTGTCCTATGCTCAAAACGGATCCGGGTTAAGTCGATCACATGTAGTTCGCTCACCCGTACCGCCATTGCTTATGCCAAGAGAAACCATTGTTTCTGGTGAGGTCATGAAATGAGGCAATCTCCTCACAGCGATAGCCCGTTCGCGGAGCTCTCTAGACTATACCGAGAGTTAACGAAGGTGTCACGCGCTGGGAAGGAGCTTGAAAATGAGGATGCAATGAGGGGCTCAAAGGGGGCCCTCGCAAACCTCGAAGTACCACGTTCAAGTCCCAATCAGGTGGGCGGAATTTGGCCTTCTGATCCTCAAGCCTGAATGAGCATAATATGGCCTGTAGTTCTGTGACCTTAATCACATTGTGATTTTCCGGGAACGGCCAACACTAAGATAATTGCAGCCAATTACGTAGTAATGGTGCTACCTTCCAAGTGTTTTGGGTACGCAAAGTAGGAAGTATTCGTCTAGGAATAGTGACGCAATCGTAGGGTCTTGATTCTTTTTCTCTGTAAAAAGTCTCAAGTGATCGCCACTTGTCATCGTATAGTCTGTGGGAGAGTAACGATGAACTAAAGCTATAGCTTTGCTGCCCGTGTCGATAAAACCCTTCGCACTCAACACCTTTTAAAGACGAACCCTGGGTGCAGTCGTTGGGTGAGGCAATTTGCTGTGAGGGTGGATGAGTAGGTTGAACCACTTTGAAAGGGGGAGTGAATCGTCTTCGGCTAGATTCTTCCGAGCTTGACGAACTACCCTCTCGCCCGTTACCAGGGTGCGACCAAGGAGAGATCGAGATACCTTGTCTCCTTGATCCCCTGTATCACCTTGGGAAGTAAAAGTGGTGGCAGAAAAGTGTTAGTTTTTTGCCCTTCCCAAGTGATACTGAACTCGTCCACCGCTCAAGTCTGCGGATCCGGCAACGGGGAGATATACGTCATGAGTTGGTGGCCTAGGCAAGTAATAAACAAGTCAGTGTTTGGTTGCCTGAATTCCTGAAGCAGTAACTGGAATGCTTCTGTGAGAAATTTCCACTCGGTGGGGGCCACCCTGTCTGGACGTGATAAAGTATCGGCCAGTATGTTTCTGCATCCGGGAATGTGCTGAACTATGAACTTTAGACACAGCCGATCCACTAGATGGAACAAATCTGAACGTCTGTAGAAGTAGAGAGTGGGAGTGTGTTGTTCCCCGATTGCACAGGCACCACACCGCAGTGCTGTTGTCTGTGGATATTGCGAGTCAGGTTAACTGTAGTTGACTCTGCCAATGTGATGTAGCCAGAATTAAAGCTTCCGACTCCAAGTTGTTTATGTGCCACTTCCATTGAGCGCCGGCCATAGCCCTGAGCTTATCTGGTCTTGAAAGTGTAGACCCCACCCCTGAAGGGGGACGTCCACAACCAGGTGAGTATTCGGCGAAAACCCAAATAAAGAGACTCCGAAGACATTCAACACCACAAATTGAGGCAAGGCCATAGCTTAGTCGGTAGAGTGATGGCCTTGAGTGGATCCTGACTCCTGATGTAAGGGTTCAGGAAAAAATTGAATTGGTCGCAGTTGTAAGCGGCCCATGCTAGTTAACTCCTGTGCCTAGGTGATTAACCCTAGCAACACTTGCCACTGGCGAAGTGTGTGTGGTTGGTGTAAAGTAGATGACAACAGAAGTAGAAACTTGTGCCATCTGTCCCTCGGTACAGATAGGATATCCTGGTCTGTCTTGAACAGGTCTCCTATATGAACTGAAGTCAATAGGAAGGAGAATACTCCCGACTTCGCCTCGTTGATTGTCTATCCCAGTTATTGACATGTGTTGATGATACAGTAGATCGCCCTCCATCTGCGACTCGAACCAAGTGTTCGTCAAGTGTAGATACAGTTATTGGCTTCATTACTCCTGTAAATAGCCATAAGTGTCACTGATATGTCAAATGGGAAATACTACCATTGGTAGTGAACCCCAATATACTGGACCTGAAAAGTCCACGGTTGGGATGGATAGTCGACTGATCAAGAATCAAACGTTCGTTGAACAAAGAGAAATTGTGGAACATTCTCATCTTGTCTGGGTCCTTCATGAGTACCAGGTAGATGTGAGGATAAAACCCCGGTGTAAAGACTGGGTTGTGAACCAATTCTACAGCTCTTCTTACCAACAGTATGTCTATGTTGGATTTTCCCAATCAAACTGTGGTCAAGGGTGGGGTTATCTCTACCTGTATACGGACACCCTGATATAGTGCGATGAATACGAAATCGTCCTTGAGACTTGTCTCTGCCACGCCCTTTCCCAGTAAGGGAAAGCTGGTCTTCCCTGAGAAACACGCGTCTAGGCTTATAATTTCCTGACTTGCCAGCCCGCTTAGACTTTCAAAGCTTTTTGGGAACTTGACGTGCGTGTCTGCGATCTGTTCGCTGAACAGGTGAGTAGACGACCAAGGTTCACGTAATAGACTGCCCTTGGAACCAGAATCTCAGTTGGAAACACTATAAAGTCTTGTGTGTAACGGTAATCTCCGTCAGAACGGTCTCAAGATGAATTTTCCTGTGGTCAAACTGACGTCGTAGGAAAAACACCATAGTTTGGAAGTGATCTAATCAGATAGGGTTATCCTCTAATATAGATTCTGATCCACTGCAAGCATTGACGATATTGGTCGCTTAAATGACGGAGCAAATGTGAGTTTTGGAGAAGTCTTCCTCCAATGACCTCGTGGTGTCCCTCTTATTTACCCCGTTATCAGGGGAGGGTGTTACTGACACGAGATGGTCTGCTACCCAATCGGGTACATGTGTTAAGCTGATCATGTGCAGGTTACGTAACCGAGCACACTGTAAGCATTGGGCTTACGTCATTGTAGAGACCTTGATTGGTACGCAGGCGCTGCGCTCAGCGCAGGTCTGGATATGTTGGAACAGCGCTAAGCTGACCGTGCGTCGCTTGCGTAATAGGAGCGCCTGGGTAGCAGTCAGACGCTGCACTCAGCGCAGGTCTATGCTGGAACAGCGCTAAGCTGATCATGCGTCGCTTGCGTAATAGAAGCGCTTGGTCTATGCTGGATATGTTGGAACAGCGCTAAGCTGACCGTGCGTCGCTTGCGTAATAAGAGCGCCTGGGTAGCAGTTAGACGCTGCGCTCAGCGCAGGTCTATGCTGGATATGTTGGAACAGTGCTAAGCTGATCGTGCGTCGCTTGCGTAATAGAAGTGCTTGGGTAGTAGCCAAGTGCTGCGCTCGGCGCAGATAACTGAGCCACAAAGCTCAAAGGTATTGACTGGATCAAGGCTTGCGTCTAATCTACCCCCATCATAGCATCTTGATACGCTGGTGCTGTCGCCGACGTCACAGATTAACATATCTGGAAGTGTCCGGCGGCTGAAAAAATAGGTGCAGTTACGATACTCACAAAATCCTCCGGTATTGTAGATTTCGGTGGATGGTGTACTTCTGCAGTCACAGGCATCATAATACCTGCCGATAATAACTGTTGGGTGGTAATAACCGAACAATGTCATTTGCTATCCTGCGATAGTGACATTCCTCTCGTCTCACGACGGAATAACTGCAAAATATGATTGTGAGTAACCTGCTTTTATATAGTAAACTTGTTGGATTAGAGATTTACAAAATAATTACATTTTGAATTTTGGCAAGCACATGTGCGTGCGTGCATGCCTAGGACTGTGGATAAAGATCTTTGGGCGATTATTCCACGACAATATGTACACCACGCAAACATAAGTTACGCAATTAAACCATTGAAGAAATGGTATTGGAAGAATGCCGTAGAATCGAACAATAATCGAGCAATTGAGCAAAAATACGAATTGCAAGGTATACAATATTTTCATATACGCAATTCAGTGTAAACCAAGGCTATGTACATTTAGAGATTGGAGAGCACATCTGCGGGCAAACCAACGTGGAAGATAATCTTTGTAAGGATTTTTTCCACGATAATTAGTACAACGCTCAAAGGTATGTTACGCAATTAAACCCTTGTTGATGAGACGATACTGGAAAAGTGCCGAAGAATTGAACAATAATCTATCGGCAAAATTATGAGTTGCAAGGGTCTACAATTTTTTTGTATGTGCAACTCAATGTAAACCAAGGGTATTTATATTTTCATTTAGGGTTTGGAGAGCACATCTGCGTACAGACCAAACAACGTGGATGATAATCTTGCCATAGAATTGAATAATAATCTATCGGCAAAACTACGAGTTGCAAGAGCATACAATAGTACATATACGCAACTCAATGTAAACCAGAAATACCAACAAAAAACTATTTAATCGCATAACCATAGGTACGCAATAAAAGAATTGTTGATGAAGCGGGACTGGAAGAATTGAGCCGTAGATTTGATATTAATCTATCGGCAACCCTATTTTTAACGAGTTGAATAGGTATACAATAATTTGAGTATACGCAACTCACTGTTACGCCAAAGCTAGTAGTATTTAAGAACATAAGAATATGTTATACATACGTAGCTGAGAATTGTAAACAATATGACTACCTTGGTGGGCAAACGATTGTAACACAATTCAAAATGGCGGCAAACAACAATATTGTGGCGGGAAAAAGACAAGAGTCTTTTCACGCTTAAATAATTCACATAAAACTACACAACATGGTGAAAGTAATATGAAAAGAATACATCACCCATCATGCCCATCACAGATCAGTTTTAGGATTGTAGACGAAAACTGAAGGTCTAAAAATTAATCCAAAAGGAGAGCTCCGCTGGGCCACGTCCTAGCTGTGCTGCGACAAGCAGTGATGTGAAGATGACCTTGGTGTCATCAAGGTCACAGGACAGCGACGGAAGGCCACTATTTGGGACTTGAGAACAACAACTTTATTTCTTCACCCAGGACCTTCTCAGCGCTGTCCTTCTAGTTGTCGTAAGTAAGCAGTGAATGCATTAAGGAGTAATGCAGGATAAGTAAAAAATTTATTGATTCTTAACTTAAGGGGTTAAATGATCATTAATGGGCATTCAAGTTCATTTACACTTGCCCTTTATAAACATGGTCAAAAAAGTGTTTTGACATATTTAGTCCTGTGGCATCTGCAGGGCATGACATGATTATGTTTGATCGTGTTAGGTGTACCACTGTAATGTGTAACACAGTGTACTTCTTTTTCTCTGATTAAAAGTAATGTTAGCATGCTTAAATTAGGGCCTTTAAATATTTGTCTTTTCATGAACACAAATACATGAATTCTGAATTTCAACTCTTATTGAATTCGATAAATTTGACCACTATATCTTTTCAATTAGGCCCAAAAATATTGGTGTACTAGTTAAACTCACTACTGTGGATTAAACATTGACATTAACATGGTGAAGGCAATAAATAGCTAAATATAAATGCCCAGTAAGTGTATTTACTGCAAAACCTATTATATTCCTCACACAAAAACTAAGCAACAAAAAAAGATATCGTTGATAATTTCCTCCAAAATGCAAAATTGCAACTGATAAGCAACAAGTTGAACAGTCAAATTCCCCAAAGTTCACTCAAATACAGTTATCAGACAAATAATTTTTGTTGTATAATATTTTGTGAGGAATATATTGGGAATCTAGCCTGAAGTTATGATTACAGACTAAACATTGCAGACGGAACTACAGTAAATTTGTGTTATACATCCATTTCCTACAAAACAACCACAAATTATTCAACATACTCTTATGGTGTCTGTTTCCAACTCAAGACCCCAGTTTTCCAGCTGTTTCCTTGCCTCATCAGTGGTATTGATGCTATTAATGAACTTTCTCATTGCAATAATTCTTTGCATAGGTGTGACCCGAGTGTGCACAGCAATGTCCTGGATCACAAAACAACAACATATGATAATGAATGAAAAAATAAAATAAATTGTATTTTCATGTGCATGATAGAAAATGTCAAAGTATTTAGAACAGGACAGATAAACATTATATTTGACAACAAAGGACACATCATCAATTTCAATGTAAACAGTATTTTCTGCGACTTCTGAAACCTGAGTCTAGTAAAATTCTGTTCGGTCTAGTAAGATCAGCTAATAAATGCCATACACATAATACAATAACTTTAAAATTACTGAAAGTGATGCTTTGAACAATGTTATGGCTACTGGATTCAAAAATGTTTTGACATAGACTGTCTTCCTCATTAAAATTATTTCCTTTTTATAATCACCTTCATGAGCCTAAAATCAGATCTCATCTCATCTGTAAGACCTGTCATGTAACACAGTTCAGGGACCAGGCAGATCATCTCAATCTTAGGCTCCCTCTCCTGTAGACAAACAAAATCCACATTATCATCAGCAAACAAAGAATATCCACGATGTGACATGATCAATCTTTAACACATTAATACATAGTCAAAGCTCATTTACAAAAGGTCTTCTATATATGCAGGACATGAAAGTGAATGATTTCATACCCCTGGTTCACGCTTCTTCCTTGGACGGTTGATGAGGAGGGGCTGTTCCGCGTCACGAATAGTGATGTTATAATTTTTCCTGCAAAATGCAAAACAGAATAAGATACAGTGACACCACACTTACAAGGGTTATTCAGAAATCCTGGGTTTTTTTAAAAACAAAATGCTTACAAAATAAACCTGCTCATCTGGACACCCAACATGTGTTACACAGACACACATTTTGTCCGCTTCTTGCCAAATGGGAGTTCATTCATTCAGATGTTCCCCAAATATAAATACAATAACAGCCTAACTGAGGGATAATTGTTGTAACCTGCAGGCTGGGGAAAAGAACTTTACAGGAGTGGCCCACAACAGACATTAAAATGATTAACGACTCCTATATTTCCTAAGTTCAAAGTGACGAAAATGAAAACACTATAATCATGATAATATATAGATGTATATGCATTAGCCTCAGGCCAATGGAAAGTTGCACAATACACAAAACAGCAATGGACGTCATGACACAGCTGCATTTATGTGTCATACTACATGACTCTTTACAAGGATACATACTCTCTACACAATTTTAGTAAAATCTAAATATTTTTTACATTTGTATACTTATCCTGCATTACTCCGTATTGCATTTACTGCTGTCTTTGACAGAGAGACGAACTGTGTGAGATCCAGCTGCTGAAGAAAGTTGTCCCAACCAGCCCAGGAGGCAGCGCCCTCTCACAGTCGGCACGTGACCCGGAAGTCATGACGTCACACCAAAAGACATAACTGCTTTAAACATAACATCTGAAACTTCGTGGGGAGGTAGCGTAGCAAAAGGGAGGGCACTTAGACTTCGTAATGCAGGATAAGTATACAAATGTAAAAAATATTTAGATTTTACTAAATTTTTTAACTTATCCTGCATTACTCCGTATTGCATCTTTATCAGACGGCATGGCCGGTGGGCATACCTGCAGATGTGAACCATATTAAACCCTCGTCAAGGTCCGATGAATCCGCACCGCATACAAGTGATGACCGGAACATCTACGACCATTCCTGTCTTCAGGAAACAAGAGTCGATGCAAAAACGAAACGCCCGAATAGGTAACCGAAATACAATGAGGTGTGTAGCCAAAATATATAACTTACCGAAGAGCGAAAGCGAAACGCAGTAGAGCCCTCTAATCTGAGGCGATAAACACCAGAGAGTTCGACGGGCCCCGCTCGGGGAATCGAAGAATCAGCGGCGTCGGCGGCAAAATCTACGACCAATCCCAAGAGCGAATGCGAAACGCAGGAGAGCCCTCTAGGCTGGAGGCAAGGAACACCGGTGAGGTCGACGGGCACCGCTCAGGTATCAGAGAAGCAGCGGCGTTGGCGTCGGCGCCGGTGTCCACATCAACTACCATTCCTGTCGTCAGGAAACGAGAGTTGATGCAAAAAGTAAAACCCGGATAGGTGACAGCAATAGAATGAGTCGGGTAACCCAAAACTAAAACTGACCTAAGAGCGAATGCGGAACGCAAGAGAGCCGTCTCGTCTGGGGTGATAAACACCAGAGAGGTCGACGGGCCCCGCTCAGGGTATCGGAGAATCAGTAGCGTCGGAGATAGATGATCTGTTGGGCTACAACCAGGGACCAAAACTGTGAACGCCGGCGACAACTTTCAAGGCTACATCACGGAAGTAGTGGTTGGTGAAGGCGGTGTCCGATCGCCACGAACAGGCTTCCGTGAACGACTGGATGGAACAGTATACCCTGAAGAACCAGTGTAAATACGATCGCCCTGATCTCATTTTATTTCAGGTGATAGCCTTTGGGGGGAGGGTCCAATCCGGCGGCTCATAAGCTTTAAGGATGACCGCCCGGAGCCACAGGGAAAAGTATTCCGGCTGACCAACGACTGCGACGAAGGGGAGACCGGCAGAAAAAGGTGTTTCCTAGACTTGTGGCAGTCTTTAGATCGTAGAATAACCTTCAGTGCCCTTACTGGGCATAATGACGCTCATCCTCATCCTCGGCACCCACACTGGACGAGGGGGGGGGGGACAAGGAATGATCTATCAGGCTGTCCTGGGAGTTGAGTCTTTACGCTGACGTCCCAGTACGGTCCATGATGAACGGCGCCCTGGGTAACGCATTCGAACCGGGCACGGGAGATGTCGAGGGCGTGCTGTACATGGACTCGAGCGGCAGTAGTCAAAACCAGTAGAAACACCCGTCTTCTACTTAAGGTTGAGAAGGAAGACGAGGGGAGTGGTTCGAAGGGCGTTGAAGACCACATTCAGATCCAACGCAGGCGGTCCGAACTTGGACTGAACGAGCGCAGCCAGGCCCGTAGGTCGGGAATTTTCGTCTTTCTCCGATCGTCCGGGATGGCCAGAACGGAGTAGATGGCGACCAGGTATGTGGGGGTGGTAAGCCCTTCAACCGACGGGTGCTACGCAAGTACAGAAGGAACTGATCCAGGATCTGCGGTGACGCTGTCATCGGATCCTGGTGTTTGTCAGAACAAAACGCCTGGAACAAGCATCATTTATCAGCATACAGTCCCCCTGTAGATGGACGGTGGGCTGAAGCAATAGCCTTGGTCGCTCTAGCCGAATAGCCCTTGGCTTTCTGCATGTGTGTCAGGCGTGCAGACGATAACATGCGGGTATGAGGGTGTGGCAACAGACCGTGTGGATGGAGCAGAAGGTTGGACCACACCGTAAGTTCCAGGGGTTGTCTCTGGCTATGTTTCGGAGGTCAATAACCCAACTTCTGGCTGACCAATAAGGCGAGACCAAAGTCAATGGCAGGGGTCGAGTGGCCTGGATCTCCGAAGAACCGTGGGAGGGAGAACCGGAGTCAGAAAAGCGTACGCGCGTAATCCTTCTCAGGAACGATGGAAGGCTTCGACTGCCACATCCGGCACAGGTGGAATGGAAGACGACAGCTGGCCACATTCAGATATGAGGCAAACAGATCTAGGGTTGGGGTGTCGACCGTTTGACATAGTCTGGCCCGAGGCACCGGAGAGCGTGAGGCGTCGGAGAGCTTGAGGTGCCTGGAACGCCGAAGATGGTGATTCTCGGGGGCGCCGGTCGAGTTTGTAGCGCCAGGAGAGGGGCGAGTACTCTGGGTCCGCAAACACCACACTACGGTGACGTCGTCAGTGGACACGATCAACAGGGCGTGACCGAGAATGCACTGTCAGCAAGTGACGTCCTGGATAAGCCTTTATCTCGAGGCTGTTGCTGTGCCAATGGTGTTGATCTCTGGATCACAGGTGGTCACAATGTGGGCTGGTGTGGGCCACTAGCCACTGACAAGGTGGCAGGGGAGGTAGTCAGCAACAGGGGTCTGCGATTGCGTACCGTCGGTACGATTCGGAAAAAGGTGTGATCACCTGCGAGCCAACCTCAAGTAGACGAAGTAAACCAGCTTCACAATCGACCGCCGGGGCATCGACGTAACCGGGTAGTAGGAAGTCGAGGCAATATGGCCATTGCACGAAGTAATGAGATCGTTTTCATCCCTGAAGCGGCGTATAAGTACTCCTGTTCTTATATCGAGGTGACGATTGAGGACGACAACACGATACGAGGCAGGTATGCAACAGGGGTCAGTGGGACGGCCGAGGGACTTTAAGTATCAAATCGACACTGTGTCCGGTAGTCAAGGCGGAAGATAGGAAGGTGTCGTAGTCGAAAAGATCAAACCGGACGAAGGAAGGCGATCTTTTCCATCCCTTGAACGCCTATAGGCGCTATCGTTCTTATAGCGAAGGGTTGATGAAACAAGGTTCCTCGTGACAGCCGTGTTGGAAGAGGAGGTCTATTGTTTCCAACATCCGTGCATGGATGGACTGCGACAGGCGCCTGGTTGAGTGGTATCACCAAGCGTACAGGTAGACATGGAAACCAATCTGTAGAAATACATGGCACCCCTTGCCATGGTAAGTTGACCTAAATCCGGTCGGAGTTGTTGACAGTCCGAGTACTTGACATGTGACATGTAAATCACTCTGCGCAGTAGCCGAGAAAACCGCCTTGGAGTCGGAACTGAGGTGTAAACTCCACACACAGACAATCCTCAATGAACTGTGTGAGAGACGATCAAGTGGTGTACCCGAGTTTTGCGATAAAACACGGAACCCCATGGGCGTCGTGGAAAACCCGGGGAGCGCCGAGGAAGAGTCTCTTTCAGGAACGCTGGCGCTAGGGTAGGGTAGAACAGCGTTGATGTCTGCGATGTCGACGAAGTAAACTCTTTGTAAGAGGATGTCGTCGTCGAATCTGATACAGACGCAGTTCACATGACGCTCTGTTTCGATGGAAACCCGCAGGTCATCTCTCCGGAATCATAGCGCTTTAAACGACGGGATTATGGATAACGTCTCAGTGGGCAAGTTGAATCAGACCAACTGTCTATTGGTTGAAATGATTCCACCCAGGAAGTAGAACGATAGTCACGATCCCGAAGACCGACGGGAGAGTAGCGACAGGAGCGGCGACAGTTGTTTCACAATGCTTCTCCGTGTGACGAGTTATGAGACGGCAGCAAGAGAAGAGGGCAGTGGCGCCGGGAAGGCGATTGCCGATGGTGCCCCTTAAGCTGCAGTAGAAGATCGGATGGTCGGCTCGTTGATCTGAAGCTTGTTGAGCGCCGAAGACATCAGAGGATGCGGAGGCGCCGAAGCGCCGAGTCATCAGAGGCGCCGAGACATCGGAGGTGCCGGGAGCGCCGAGACGCCGAGACATCGGAGGCGCCAGAGACATCAGCGTTGACGGTGTTGGAGACCGTGAACGGTCGTATGTCGTGCCAGGGGAGGCAGACTCTACGTTGGGAGCGCTGGAGCTGCCGGTGGAGTAGGAGACCGTGAACGGTCGTATGTCGTGCCATGGGAGGCAGACTCTACGTTGGGAGCCGCCGTGAAGCTCCGCTGAGCGCTGCTGCCGTCAACGTAGGTGGGGGTCGACGAGCACGTTGAGCGAGGTGTGTCCTAGATACTCGCATGAGCTGAAGGATCACAGCTACGAATGACTGCAACATCGGCACTGCCTTGTGAAAGTACAGGGCGTCGTACAATCACGGCAGAAAGGGGCGGCCCCGACCAGATTTGTTCCTGCGGCAACAAGTGCAGCGAGGCAGAAAATCTGGAATTTAAGCAAAACATAACTATGTGGCAAAGCCACAAAGTGCGGGAAGCATAATGTGATTCAGAAACTTTGTATTTCAATGAAGTTTATGAGATCAAACAATGACGCTAAAAGGTAGCGAAAAGGCATAGCTTTAAGCAAACACATAACCATGTGGCCAATCACAAAGTATGGGAAGCATAAAGTAACTCAAAAACAGTATATTTTATTAAAGTTTATGAGATAAACAAGTACGCTAAAAGGGAGCGAAAAGGCAAAGCCTTAAGCAAACACGTAACCATGTGGCAAAACCACAGAGTACGGGAGACATAATGTAACTCAAAAACTTCATATTATATTGAAGTTTATGAGAAGAAACAATTACGCTGAGAGGTAGCGAAAAGGCAAGGCTTTAAGCACACCAAAACAACATACATAAATGTAATGTATTACCCAAGCCAAAGAGAGAATTCAAAACGCAGAGCACGACATTACGTGGCCACGTGGTGAATGGCCAAAATGGCGGGAAAGAAAACAAAATGGCGGGAACAACATTGCGCCCGTAAATTACTGTGACGTGAGCCACAGACAAGCGATAAACGTTACAATTTACGAATGGGAAGACCCTAAGGTCACGGCCCATAACAGGTAACAATGTAGCAGCATATAATGAATGTAGAAACACGCAAAATATAAAAAACAAATAATGAGCTTTAATTTCCACAAGGGATACAAAGTACGTCCGTCCGTGGAGGTGACAAAGCAGTTATGTCTTTTGGTGTGACGTCATGACTTCCGGGTCACGTGCCGACTGTGAGAGGGCGCTGCCTCCTGGGCTGGTTGGGACAACTTTCTTCAGCAGCTGGATCTCACACAGTTCGTCTCTCTGTCAAAGACAGCAGTAAATGCAATACGGAGTAATGCAGGATAAGTTAAAAAATTAAATGAATGGAGACAGACATCCCACTTGGTGACAGCATGGTTCTCAAAGCTGACATTTGTACAATTACACTTGTAGGCATTGTATACAACTATTTTGTCAGACAAGGACACCTGATAGTTATGACTTATATCAGAGAACTTACAAGGCACTTGGTTTGCCCTATTATCAAGTGTATGACATTGTCGTCGAAATGAAATTAATAGGGACTGTCACAAAGCAGAAAGGGTAGAAGTGAAAAGTATTACTACTTATTAGATAGTTTTGATATAGGGGTCATTAGAAGGGCTGTGACATATTGCTTGCGAAACTCGATCAATATTTCTGAAAAAGAAGACTAGGGTCCCAACAAGCTTTTTGTTGAGAAATGATGAGGCATTTGCTTGCTATTCAATTTCAGGAGTCAGTGCTCTGCTATAGTATGTGGAATCCTGAGAGAATACTTACCTGTAGTAGTCCAAGAAGGAAATCTCCTCCCCTGTGGAACAACTCTTGAAGGTGTCGAGGGGCTTCATGTCCCACTTGATCTCATCCACCCTGTATGTCTTGTTGTTGTAGCGAGTGAGTACAACAGACCCAATCACCTTGCGAACTATATCATCTTGGCAGTTATTTGGATTCCTGACGGCTATACTTTGCCTATGTGAACAACAACAAACATGAGACATGGATCCAGGAAATTATCTCCACATGCTCAGAGGCTCATACTCGGCCCAAAATCTGAAGCAACTGTCTGAATAAATTTCAAAATTGGAATCTAAATTTCATGTTATATAATAATTATTATTAATGTGATGTGACAAAATGCAGTGTAAACCTTAGGAAAAGCAAATGTATTTTCTATTCCAAATGATAAGATCCCTGTACTTACATGACATCTAGTACTGTTTCTGTGCGCAGTACTCTGTGAGAGGCATCCAGGTTGAGCAACAGTCCACCTTCTTGCTCCTTGATTGAGCTAATATATCCTGGCCACACTTCCAGTCTATAAACACAAAACAAGAGTCATTCTCAGGTAATATGATATCATGACTGTTAGAACACAAGGATTATCCTGGAATTTTTTACCTATGAGAGAAAATCACCACTGGTCCAAAAGCAATGAGATTGTTTGGCGTGTGATGACATTTTGCTAATTTTCAGCGATGTTTCATCTTCACCATGTTCACAGTGGGGAAACTGTATTTGATTTTTGGTACTTGTTGTTGGTTGGTTTGTTGTTTAACGCTGCACTCAGCAATATTCCAGCTATATGACGGCGGTCTGTAAAATAATCGAGTCTGGACCAGACAATCCAGTGATTGACATCATGAGCATCGATCCACACAATTGGGATCGATGACATGTATCAACCAAGTCAGCTTTTACAATTAATTGGAAGTGACAGTTCATTATACATTATACAATGACTATTGCTCCAGGTTCACCCTCTTGTCTAGTTAGCATCAATGAAGTCATTTATTTCACACAGAAGGTGGCGTGTTTGCCATGACTGTGCAGCAGCCAGAAAATGTTTACGAGTAACCGGAAGTTGAAAAGACTTGACATTCACAATGTTTAAGAGTTACATTTGAATGATTAAGTCACAGTTTCCAATTTTTATGGACAAATTTGGAAGCAAACGTATCGCAGCATATTCTAAAAAATCTAACTCCAACTTGCAGTTTGGCCACTAGAAATAGTTCAAAATTTGTAATTCACCAAGATGGCCGTTCTTGCATGAGGGTACGTTCATGAAAACTTTTCCAACGGCTAGACGAATCTCATCTAAAATACGATCATTTCTGATCTGCAATTTGTAGATTATTATGGAGAAAGATGATTTAGTTTTTAAGTTTAAGGACTTGAGTTGTAGATCACGGAATAAGATTTTAGTGCGCTACCAAAGTGTTTAGTTTGTAAAAAAACCAAACACTTGTTTTGCCAATCGTGGATAAAAAAAATGTTGTGCACTCCACCATTGTCAGCTGATGCAAAGCTCCATGCAGTGATATAGGACTCGGTTATGCACAGTAAGAGCTGGCATGCAATGTTGCGAGTATGCAAATCGCTGTTTTGATAGACAACTTTTGACGATTATATGAACTAGAGTGTAAGTTTTATTATATTCACATTTTAAGGTACCGTAGATAAATTTATTCTAGCAATACGACATTTTCAATTTTTGTTGGTGAAAATGAGAGTGTTAATGCAAATAAAACTATTGAAAGATCTACGCGATTTTTAATCATGCTGATTGAATGTTGATGCGATATCTACGACAACTATACGAGAATATCGCGGATTCGCAGCACAAGTCAATCCCTGAGAACAGGTTCTTAATGGTTTCTATAAAGTACTAAATCCAAACAAAGAAAAACTTACTTGTACTGTGGCACTTGCGAGGGTGTGTGGGGATTGTAATAGTATCTGCCAACTTGACACATGTCCAAGATGCTCATGATCCTGTAACATCAACAGCATTATTACCACTTCACAGTTTTTCCAGCAAAAAGTCTTATAACAAACAAAAAATAAACTTTTTGTGCATAAAAACACGAAAGTTCAATGCCAACAGTAGCAAACTATTCAAACAAGGAGTACAAAGTAATGTGTCTCCGTAAGAACACATAAGACATCCTCCACAATAATTGTCCACATGGACTTACTGGACCGAGGGTTTCTTCATCAATGTCACGGACATGCATGTATTTCAGTGAATTAGGAAAAAATAGGATTCTTTCACATTTATATCTCTAATTTGTACGGGTGATTTCCTGAAACTAACCTTCTGAAGACAATGTTGTAGAGATGAGCACACTGAGTAGGATCCACAACTGTTGTTAACCTGATGGTGATTGTGACATTAATACCATCAGTCTTCCTAACACTGTGCAGAACTGTTTCCTGAAATACAATGAACATGATTATATATTACATGAACATTTCTCAGATATTCAATCTGCATGATTTTTAGTTTCCCGACAAAATACTGCCATTCACAACATAAAATGTACAGCAAGAATAAAATTAGGTACAACTTTCTGCAGTTAACAAGTACCACACTGTACCGAGCATGAAAATTTAGTAAAATCTAAATATTTTTTTCATTTGTATACTTATCCTGCATTACTCCTTAATGCATTCACTGCTTACTTTACGGCAAAAGACGGGACAGCGTAATGGCACTGGTCCTGGTGAAGAAATAAAATACTGTTGTTCGTAGTCCCACTTTTTGCGACCACCGACGCTGTCCTGTGACATTGATGACCTGAGGTCACCTCTTCACATCACTGCCTGTCGCCTGATCTTTTAGAAAAACATACTTTTGAGGTTTCTGAAGCCAAAGTGGGGAGGCAAGTCCGCGACGGGTGGGCCTTAAACGTAGTAATGCTGGATAAGTATACAAATGTAAATAATATTAAGATTTTACTAATTTTTTACTTATCCTGCATTACTCCTTAATGCTTCTATATCGTATGGTTTGGAGGTGGGAAACCCTCAAAATACAGAAACCTCAATAATTCACACCCTGAAGAAACGCCATTAATAGTCACATAAACTATGAACTGGTAAAGTTCAGAAAAAAGCCATAACGGTCAGGTTACTTCAATGTCACAACAATTGAGCATATGAATTAAAGAGTAGCTCCCTATACACTCCAGTTATAAGGATCAAGGTTGACATAGCAGTCTGCGCTTAAACTATGAGACCAAAGTGGATAGGGCTAAAGAGCCAAGCCTCCATGTGACAGTTATTTCTGCCAACGCCGTTGAAAATCGACTATAGTTTGGAGATGATCTAGTCTGTTAGGGTTATCCTCTGACAGATCCTGCACGTTTTAACAAAGCTAGTGCTGATAAAGTTTTTAATACCTGTCTAATTTCTGTTTCAATAATTGCAACTCTGGTATTCTGGACCTTAAGAGTAGCAGGCCTTGACGAGCCAGCCATTCTCTGTACATCCTCATCCAACCATCCAAACTATGTGCCTGATCTGCTATATCAAAAGCATGGAAAGGAAGTTCATCCTTCGTAAACTTGGGTGGCTTATACGACAGCGTAAGCGTCAGCCTGAAAAAGTCTTCATCCAAAGATCTAATCATATCTGTCATCCTTGGGTCAACCGGAATGGACGTAGGATGATGGACGTAGGATGAGTCCATATTGTGTCTTTTTTATCCACCCCGTTACCTGGGGAAGGCACAGAAATGAGGCGCTCCGCTACCCAATCAGGTTCTTGTGCCAGAACGAGATGAGTATTCCATTCTGTCGAGGAATCTCTCTCTTCACCTTTTGAATAGTCTAGATGGTGAATAACAACTCCGATGTGTTGTGCTACCTCTGACCGGGGGTTTAAAATGATCCACCTGGTAAATAGGAGTCCATCATCATGGCCAAGTACACGCAGACGTACTGGCACTACTCAACGATGAATGCGCTCTATTATGAGGTACAAAAGGTGCATGACATACCCAGGTAAGACCTGGGCCGTAGATGTAACTGATGCAGGCGTCTGATACGTAGGCGCAGGATACAATTGCGTCATGGACTGTTGCCACATGGATTGCAAAAATGTTTGCATCCAATTAGTGTTCTGTGATTGTGATGATGCTTGAGTCTGCATCTGTTGCGTTGGATATGATACAACGCCAAGCTTATCATACGTTGCCTGCGTAGCATTGTACGCTGATAGCCCTGGAGCTGATGTTATTGTAGATGCGCTTGGGTAGTAGGCAGGGGCTGCGCTCGGTGCAGGTAACTGAGACACAATGCTGAAATGTGGCTTGGGTTTGCACTACCCCCATCAAAGCATCTTAAGACACTTGCACAGGCGTCACAGATCTAACCAATCTAGATGTTTCAGGCGGCTGAAAATTAGGGTCAGTTATGATACTCACAAAATACTCTGGATTTGATGTTTTCAGTGGAACGTGCACTTCAGCAGTGATAGTAACGGCTGACATATTACCCACCAAAGAGTAAGAGAGTGAGTGAGTTGGGTTTAACGCCGCTTTTAACAGTATTCCAGTTATATCGCGGTGTGTCAGCTTAATGTGGGAGGAAAGCGCGAAGTGATGCAGGTCTCAGATGTTTACCACTTCAGTGAAACCCACGAGCACGGGTATGGTGCTGACAAACCTAGAAACATAATTGGGGCGAACCGGGATTCGAACCCACAATCAGAGGTTTCTGGAGTGCCCAAGGGACGCAACTCTGCACAGCGACTGGGCCACCCGCACCCCCTCCCACCAAAGATAATGGTTGCTGGTAATGACCGAATCATGTCCCTCACTATTCAACCATTTATACATTCTTCCTAGTCTCACAACGGGACTGCTGCTAAATACGTTTGTGAGTGACCTGCCTATGAGTTGTAAGATTTACGCAAAAGACACATTGAGAGTTTGGTGCACAAATTTGCGTGCATGCCAGACAACATGGATGAGGATCCTTGGCAGATTTTTTTCCACGACAATTAGAACAACACACAAGCACAAGTTACGCAAATAAAGACTTTTGGATGAAGCGGGACTGGAAAAGTGCAACAGTATTTTATTTCTTCACCCAGGAACATCGCCGTTACGCTGTCCTGTCTTTTGTCATAATGAAAGCAGTGAATGCATTTAGGAGTGATGCAGGATAAGTAAAAAGATTTCTGAATATAAATAACAGTAGAGATGCAGAAGGGCATACATCAGTTTCTTATAGTTGTAGATGCTGCAGGAATATACTGCTCAAAACAAATTAAGGAACACTCACAATAGGAAGGCTGTATCTTGCAATACCCACCAGCCATGAAAGATTAACTATAGCCATAAGAAAAAACTGGATGTTCTTTAACTTCTCTTGTGTAGCATATATCAACATACCAGTAAGTTCCGACATGTTGTTTTAACTGTTTTTTCAGCTTCACATTTCATTAGACAAGTGAGTGACTATGCTTTTACATTGCTTTAGCAACAGTCCAGTCACACAGGCTTCTGTATGACAATGGAACGCCTTAACTACTGGGCTTCCCTACCATACCTGCAGGGTCTCATATCGGTTGTAGGACACTGACCAAGTGTCATCCAAAATGTCTTTAAGAGATTGGTTTTTTTTCATGATTTAGAAGGATGTCCTATCAATATGTCCCAACAACATTTGTTTCATGGAAAGTCACTTCACATAGCCTCATTGTCTAATATCAATGTCTGGGCTGATAGGCAGAAAAAAATTTCGTTTCTAAATGAGTTTGGGAAAAAACTCATTTTTTATCAATACAACATAAACACAGTGATTATTAATACAACCTACATTTTGTGGCAGTCTGATAGGCAAGAAGAGGAGTCTTCCATCAAAGGCTTTGGTCTGACCAATAACAGGTCTATGTTCATTAAGCATGCCAATCCTCATGCCTTTACTGTCTATGACGGGATCAAACTTCACATCATACTGAAAAACTCCGCTGTTCCTGCACTTGACACGGATATGGTTGGCGGAGAATGGCATTCTAGAAAACAAAAGAGTTACAACCTAAAACTTGTAAAAGGAAAGCAATACTCAATTTCTCAATTACAGTTTCTGTATTTGCCATAAACAAATTGGGGCGAGGGGGAGGGCGTGGGTGGAGGAGGTAGGTGAGCGGGGGTGAAATGGGGGTTTAACGTTGCGTTTGAGATTATTGAACTCATATAGCTACATGCATGCACGTGTGTGTGTGGCTGCTTGTAGGTTCTGTAGACATCTAATCTCAGAGATCTATAGGTAAGGGAGGTAACAGAGTAGACTTTGTTGTTGGGTTGTTGGGGAGGATTTTATTTCCATGATAATCTAATAACTTTTTTAATATATTTTATAGCTTAAAAAATGAAATATTTGTAACAAAAACTTACACTTTTCCTTCTTCTCCTGAACGATGGACAGCCTCCCTCCTCTCATATATTGTTAGTCTGCTCAACTCCTCTGTGGGTGGGGCAGGGGAAAGAGCAGCACCAGCACCTGAAGGTTGTGGAGGTGTACTGGATGAGGAGGTAACTGCTGCAGATGGCTGACTTGAAGCCTCGACGGACGCAGGCATTCCTCTGCCCTGTGAGGCCCTGAAATATACTCACTTAATTAAGGATGAACTCTAGACTTCTATGCCAATTTTGCGTGATCCACATATAAATAAAGATACAAATAATGACAGGAGACTTTTTTTCTAATTTCATTCCCACAAGGAAAGAATGCCTTGAAATGTATCACTTTCAGGAATACCAAATGATTTTCCTTACATGTCCAGGCCTCTATCATGCTCAAGTAACTTACCAATGATTTAATTCACACCTAACAACAAAGTGGGTCACAATTAAGTGATGTATTATCAAACGCAAGTTTTCATCCTATATTTTTAGTCGGAAAAGTGAATAAAGGCTAATGACACCTGCAACTCTATATTTCACATTGCAGCAACAAGAGCACTGCAGTACTTTATCATTAGGCAATGCTTTAGACGTTCTTGCTGACACGAGCCTGATCACTGGGTCTAGTTTGTTGACAGCCACTGGAACAATCACTCATGCTAATGTCTGTAACTTAAAGTGAGTTAAATTTGTATGTAAGAAATACCTAACTGAGGCAGACAATATTGTCTCAAAGGCTACATGTACAAGTAAAGCAGTAACTGCTTTCAAAATACTCAAGTAGAGGGGTACTGCTTTGTCGTAATAGAATACTACAAGATCTGCTGCTATTCTCATGTAGCACCATCACAATGCAAGGAAAATAAATGCCATTATCTTGTTTATTCAATAGTTACAGAATTCATTTTCTGTCCAATTCTTTCAAAATGACAAAAACATGGCTGCAAGTGACCATTGATCAATAAAATTATAGTCTGGGTTAAGGGAGGTTACTCTCGTCTGAACCTGTTTATCTCAACTTTCATTGAATAACATTGCAACTGTTCACACAATATATTTCATTGTAGGCCAGTGAAAGTTAAGCATTTGCGAAGATAAGGTCACATTCATTCTGCATGCTATTAATGCGGCTAGTATCGTTTATCATTGAATAATCACAGTTTTGGGGTGAAAGACGGGATCTATAATGGACTGTGTTGCCAAACTGTCAAGGCGGTCTTGCCAAAGGAGTGCCTCCTTTTGTCCAGCATCCATTTTGAAAAAAGATAACAAAGTTTCACCTAAAAATGTCTTAAGATAAAGTAAACAATAATTCTTGACAGATATCATAGATGAGGAATTATCAAAGCTTTTGGGCTAAAGTAATAAGCAGTCAGCAACCAATTTGTAGCACCTATCACCAATAAGTCAGTCCACATGACAAGAATATTAAAGTACTCACGGAAATGAAAAGAAAACTGTTTTTTCGATCTCAGATTTTAAATAAATGCAGTTAATATACAAAATATATAAATATTCAAACAACTCAATTAGTACTAATTGGGCCTTGGCACAAATACAGCGTATCAAAGGTTTTTATGTCTTTTTACATGTAAAAGTGTGTAAAAATATGAACAAAACAGACCATTGTGAAACTGAGCATAACCTATGCCACCTTGAAGACAGGTGCTTGAAACCCACGTGCATGTGATTTGTGAGTGGTTAGTGATTTGTGAGCGGCATTGTGGGATAGTGAATCATCGTCAAAATATCAGAACGTAAAAGTAACATATTCCCTTCTCAAACAACAACTTACATGTCATTATTATTATGTAAATAAACATAGCTGTTATTTTTATTGTTGTTTTGATAACTTTTTCCAGGATAACTTGCATAATGCCTATAGCCTGTTTCTGCCATGTCAATTTGGACTAGTTTTATTTTTGAATGTTGAAAGTGCCTACAAATTACCTCCTGTAAAGTACATTTTGTATTGAGCACTGAGATAAAACTAGCAAATCCAGACTAGTACTTTTCCAGTTGTTTTGTTATTCCGGATTTACAAATCAGGGTCTTTTTCACTTCCATGAGTAGTTTAGGTACTTACTTTTGAAGCAGTTCTTTCATGCCGCCAAGACCCCTTCCTTTTGGCATGGTAAAGGGCATAGCTGGACCAGCAGGTTTGGGAGCTGAACAAATTTGAACACTATTATTCTGTGAATAATAATCATAATGAATAATAATCATAATGAATGATCAAATAACAAATTGAATAATCTAAGCTAAAACACTAATATTGATAATAACAAGTATTTGTCACAAAGTGACGAAATGTCCCCCGCCTGTATATACACCATAGTACCAAATATGAAGACAATCCAGCAATTAGTTCTTGAGATATCGCGGCAACACCGTTTTCCAACTCCAAAAGCAGATATGCCTGCTGTGGCCTTGAAAATGAGGTCAAGGTCACCAAAACCGACTGGTGTCTGCGGTGTCTGTATATACACCATAGTTCCAAATATGAAGACAATCCAGAGATTAGTTCTTGAGATATCGCGGCAACACCGTTTTCCAACTCCAAAAGCAGATATGCCTGCTGTGACCTTGAAAATGGGGACTCAAGGTCACCAAAACCGACTGGTGTCTGCGGAGTCTGTATATACACCATAGTTCCAAATATGAAGACAATCCAGTGCTTAGTTCTTGAGATATCGAGGCAACAAACAGGTGGGACGTACGGACGGACGGTCGTGAATACTATATCCCCCGCTTCGCGCTTTCGCGCGGCGGGGGACAATAATAATAATAAGTCCATTTATACTGCACTTTAGTAAGACTGTAATGATAATCAAAGATTATACTCTTATAGTTGTAGTAGTGGTTTATTTCAGTAAATCAGGCCACAGGCCCATTTTACAATATATATTCAAGCATTCAAACATGTTGCGCCACAAGTGATTGTTGTGATATCAATACTTATCAGAACAAGTGTATCTGAGACCATATACATTTGGTGGTTGAATTAGTAGTTTATATAATGGACAACTGCTTGCTCCTTATTTTAAGAGCAAAGAATGTAAACTTGGCAAGATTGTTGATTGTGAAAGCATAACTGGTGGTAAATAAAGCTTTACATTTATGCTCTGATGGAGATGTATAATAATACCTTGGCAGAAAGTTTCTTCTAAGATTGTCATAGAACATGGTATTCTGTTTCTACATTTGGAATGATACAAAATGGACAGAGTCTTTCACATTTTGGAATACCTAACTTTCTACCCTGTGATACCATAAGATCACTGCTCGACATGCGAAACTGTGAGAGAGTAATCCTAAATGCAGCAATATTCACAACACTTAAATAATTTATAATCTTATAGTATGTGAGGGCTAAGAGTTTTGGTTTGTTTTGTTTTTGTTTTACACCACTCTCAGCAATATTCCAGCTATATGACGGCGGTCTGTAATAATCGAGTCTGGACGAGACAATCCAGTGATTAATATCATGAGCATCAATCCACCCAATTGGGATCAATGACATGCATCAACCAAGTCAGCGAGCCTGACCACCTGATCCCGTTAGTCGCCTTTTACGACAAGCATAGTCACCTATTACAGCAAGCATGGGTTGCTGAAGACCTATTCTACCCCGGAATCTTCACTGATGTGAGGGCTAAGAATATATTGTATTCTTGAGCACTGCACAATACACTCATTTACATATCATGAATTGTATTGTAGAGTTAGTTCAGGGACTAATAAAATTCATATAAAATATAAGTAGCAAAAAGGCACATCTACACTATAAGGTGAATGTGTGTGTACCAAGTTCCATAAACACATCGCTAATAGTTTTCGAGTTATGCTCTAAAATTCATATAAAATATAAGTAGCAAAAGGCACATCTACACTATAAGGTGAATGTGTGTGTACCAAGTTTCATAAAGACATCGCTAATAGTTTTCGAGTTATGCTCTAGAAATGAAACCCACTGCTTCCATTGATTCAGTTCAGAGACAAAGTCAAATTCAAATTCTTTTTATAAAATATCTCTAAAATGCAGGGTAAACCTAAATAGCAAAGGGCACATCTACACCATATGGAGAATGTGTGTACCAAGTTTTGTAAAGTTATCTCTAATGGTTTCCGACTTCTGTTCCGAAAATGAAACGTGACGGATGGACAGGGCCTGTTTCTATATCCCCGCCAACTCCGTTGGGGCAGGGGATAAAGATGAAGGTCCAGAGAAATGTCAAATATTGAATATAACAATTGGAAAATGGATCAACGTAAAAATAAAAAATATTGAGACTGATTTGGGGATTAAAAACCCATCATTTTGGGTCAATAATCTGGTGGACTACGTCTCTGGACAAATTAACATTTCCTGTTTATTGTTCAGTGGTAAGTTCAGAATTTTGAAATTTCCACACTCATGAATATGACATGCATGAATAGAGAGGTAAAAGTCTTCACAAGGTTCAGTTTTATTGACAGATAGAAAACGAAAATGACGTGTGTAGTGTTGTTTTAATCATTATGTTGTTGGGTTGAACATGTTCATTGATATAGGGAATTTCAACATCTTTAAAGTTTCACCCAGTTTCATGGTCGGACGACGTTGGTTGTATACAATCAGCTCATCATGCTAATAGTAGGCACATTAAAAAGGTAACAAAACAAATGTATCCAAAACATTGAAGTAGAATGAAATAGCAAGTGGAGAAGTTACCTGTTGTTTCTGCTGAAGCACCTGGCTGAGAACTAAGCTGGGCTTTCTGCATCATGGCTAGCAGTCCTCCCCCTCTTCCCAGGGTAATGGGGGCAGTGGTTGGCTTTGGTGTTGCATCACTACTCTGGGGGGCAACTGGGGCAGTGGCCTATAAGGAAACCTTAATAATTAAAAACTGGACAGGAGGTCATTCCTTGCACAGAAATAATGAAAAATATTGTCAAATATTTTGACACACAGTTACTGTATAACAAAATACAACGTATTAGCAACACATAGTTAGGGTAGACTTTGGACCATGTGGCTGCATTACAATATGCATCAACAGGGATTTACTTTGGTCAATTTGATTCTTTTTTTAAATTTGAGGGTACTTGGCATGACAATAGTTGTTTGTTTGTTGTTAAACGACACACTCAGCATTATTCCAGCGGAATGAAAATAATCAAATCTGGACCAGACAATCAAGTGACTGATATTGTGAATAACAATCCATACAGTCAACGAGCCAAACAACCTGATACATTTGTTCATCTCTTACGACCAGCATATGTTGCTGGGGACCTATCCTCACCTGGATTGTCCATGGGATGCAAGAAAGTAGGGTTCCCAAGTTGACCACTGTACCAACAACACAATGTAAACTATTTGGAGGGATTACCTAGGATTATATACCTCTATTTTGGTACTTGCCACTGGACCAAACAATCCTTTCTATAGGCAGTAATATGAAGTGGGAAGAAGTTTTAATTTTTCTAGTAAGATTGGGTATGAGGTTTTTTCCTTCTTCCTCTAAAGACTGCATCCCTGATATGATGTTTTCCAAGTAAGGGGAAATTTGGCCTCAGTGTTACAAAGGTTCAATGTTCTAAAATCAAAGACAAGAATTTAAACTTTTTCATTATGGACGAGACGAATCAAACCCACAACCCCCTGATCAATAGTCAGGCACCCTAACCATTTGACCACAGAACTGGTCGAAAATAGGTGGTTCATTAGATGGTACCATGTTTAGCATTTATTTCCTGACCACACATATTTTACGAGTGTTTCATTAGACTGTCGCAACACACTTTTATACATAATAGAAATATTAATATATTTTGTTTCAACGATGTGTAAGTCAGATGAAACACTTCTTCCTTTAGGTTGAAAATGTAAAACCCTCAGGGTCAGAAAAGCCCTTCCCCTCAGGTTTTACATTTTCAACCAAAACCTTGGAGCCATGTTTTGTCCTACACTTATAAACTTAGTGCACTGGGCACACAAACACAATGTTTAGGTCAAAAATAGGATTTTATAGGATCATCTGATAATAAAAGCTTATAGTTTCTTAATTTTAGAGGTATCGTAAAATTGCATTGAAATTTGAATGCAATAATGTAAAATTAAGGCTGGTCTAGATAAATTGAAGATTTAGGATATCTTATACTTATCATAGGTGGAGATTTCCTTGTTTGAACTTCGTGATTGAGTAAAGAAAATCGAACATCAGCTCTCCAAACTTTGATCAGAATAGAAACATTCGTCAAATATAATGCTAAATCTGAATTACAGGTAGTTTGAACAATGAATGTTGAATGATCATGATGATTCAAATATCCATATTCCTTTGCATCTTTGGAACTTGCAGTACAAACTTTCAACTATTCTTAATTTGCGTCCATTAAAAGCATGACAAACACATCTTACGAAATGCATGTAAAAAAAAGAAATCTACTGATCATCAGGAAAACATTATTCCCACCATCATTATGATAACTCAATTGACGAAAACCAAACCTGCGCTTGAGCTTGCTCCTCTTGTTGACCCGGTTTCCGTGCTGGTTGCTTCAAAGCATCTAGAATTGACCTGCCCCTTCCTCCTCTGCCATAAAATCCTCCAGATGCCATGGCTGGTCAGTGAGTGAGACCCTTAATCCTGGCTGTACTAATATATTCTGAAAGAGGAACATAACAAAATTACTTTAAAAGCATGTGGGTTTTCAATATTTCATTTTAAGGTCCTGGTGTGGTGATGCCATACCACATGACAAGTCCAACTTCCACTCTTAGATGATAATACATCACCCCTTGACTTTCAAACACCTCAGTAGTAACATTTGTACTTGTTTCATGCAGAGTGTTTAATGTTAAATTCATTTTGTGGGCCAAAACCATGGAATACTGGGTGCATATGTATGATTCGAGTAAACTCCTGCAAATATCAGTATTGCAATCCTATCAAATTATTATATTTTGTTAAAGTGAGTGAGTGGGTTTGATTTTACGCTGCTTTCAGCAATATTGCAACATCACGACGGGGGGACACCAGATTATTTTGTTTAAAGCATAGCATGGATGATCACGTTGATAGTCATAGTTGGAAGGTAAGCTCTTCTGCCCGTACACAAACATCTCAACAAACAAGAGTGAGTGAGTATCGTTTTACGCCACTTTTAACAATACTCTAGCAATATCACGACAGGGGACACTCAAGAAACAAAAACCATGATAAATAACTTGTATCTTACCACAAGTGAATATGATGTATTTCTGTAGAGTCCAGGTCAATATTTATAATTTGATCGTGTTGATTGAAACGAGCCACAAAATGTTGAAATTTGTAGGACCTGATCATTAAAACTAGTAAACTGGACAATGGTGGCCATGTACAGTGTTTCACCTTGATCTACTAAACTAGGGATTCAGAGAACTCCCTATTACTAATTTCAAGGGTCCTGTAATGTAATGAAATGGTTAAGTGTACTGTACTGTAAGGTTCAATAATTACTTCAGAGATAGAACTTGGCACTAGTACTGGAGTCCTTGCCAAACTGCCCAAAACTTAAGGTATTATAAGGACGAGTAAAATTTGCCATTTTTAAGGGTTTCGTGATATGTTATCACTATAAGGACAAGTGGACTAAAAATGTTAGTTTCTATCGCTGTACTTTATTTACAGGAATGGTATGTTTATTATCAACAATTTGGTACAATAAATAATATTTATACTTTTTCCTGCCTCGATTCTATACATTTGTGAGTTCTGGACAGACATATCTGCGCTGTGTAAAACCCTGCATGTATCAACAAATAAAATAGCATTCCTGTCATTGTCCATGCTGTTACATGAAAGTTTAGGGTGATGAATTCAGAAAGGGATTCATCATTGATACCTGTGGTGCTGTACCCCACAAAAACCCTATATTAACAGAAAAGCAGGCCCACATACTAGCCCTCAACCTGAAAGACCTAAACAGGTTATAAGGATGCTTGGGAATAGTAGAAATTTGGATGCATGGCCCTAGTCTCATGAAGCCATTTTGACTGCAAGCAAGATCTATGAAATATGAGGCAGACACAAGTTGTGGCTACCTACTCTCAGGTGTTTACCTGGGTCTATTTAATTTTTTTTTTAGTCAAAGGAATTTTGACGAGTCCAAGGCACAAACATGGGGGTTTAAAGGGGCACTGATCTAACGCAATTCCCCGGGACTGGTTGTTGCCTTTGTTATTGTTTTTTCCCAGTGAATACCCGGATGTATAGCAGAAATCTAGACTAGTTCGCGACCTCTGCTGCGCCATTCGTAAGCGCATTAGTCACTTTTATGGGTAGTAATAAGGGCGTAAGGTCACATTGATCAACAAAATGAAATACAGTTTTCGAGATAATAAGGAAATGTAGGTATCTTTGTGAGTAGCATCGGTAATGGTGACGAAGTTTTGATAAGTCACTTGCTTGGTAATTTTGCGATTTTCGTTTACACTATTTTGACTTGCAACACAAAGTATATATTTCACCTGAGCATATGCTTTTTTATAGTGTGTATATTTTTTTACTGTCAAATGTGTAACAAATTTATTAAACGTCTAAATATTCAGTTATTTTACAAAGTGACTGAAAAACATTTCCATCTGCATTATTATGACAACGAATTCCAAACATTTTGATGTTTAATGTCATCACCAAGAGACTGAAAATGTAACGTTGAAAAGTACATTTCTAAGTTGTTTGGCTTTTAATCCTACATAATAATCTGTTGTGATGTTTGTAGGCCCTTTTGATCGTCTTGATCAATCTGGACAGATTTTTTAGTCAAAATGACTGAAATATTTACACATTTTATAAATTGCCTGAGAGAATCACATTTTACAAATTGACGGTAATATATACACGCTTACAAAGGAAAAGACCTGTGACAACAACGTCTATCGCGCATTGAAGAATTTCCCAACCAAGACGTAAAGAAACAAGAACGAATCGGTTCAAATGAAGGAAAACAAAATGCAGATATCATAATTACAACCTACCAAATTTATGTGTATAAGTTTTAGACAGCTTCCTTGTTCGAGGAATGTATCCGTGAATATCCACACAAAGGAACAATATCCCACTCGTCTGCAGCTGTACAAAGAAACTTATTCGATGTCACGTGTCTCAGTAACAATCAAATATTTTAAAAGATATATATCGTTTCGGGATATTATAACCCGTGTTCGTTTCTCAACTGATCGCTTGGATTGTTTCAGGTGTTTTACATAGGTGTCAAGTCTCAATGGTCGGCTGAGAAAGCCCACGTGACAACTATTTTCATAGCGTCCACGGTTCCTAAAAATTCCATTGAGTGATAGATAACAATGATCAATCAATCAACGTATTATCAGTTAACCCTTTGAACAAAGTATGTTGTTTTTACATCGGCACTTCGCGCCATGATATGAGTGTATTCCCTTTGTTTTAGTAAACCTAGACATGTAAACACTCACTCTTGACATATCCACTGTGCAAGATAACAGTGATTAATCAATCAACGTATTTTCTGTTAATCCTTTGATGTCTAGGAACGATTCGTTGATTTACAAAAAAAAGTAAATCAAGTGATCATTCATCTCTTGCTGGGCTGCCACGTGCATATTACATAACACACATTTCACCTCACTTCAAACCTGGATTTAGATTGAATAATTACCCCAGACACAATAAATGCCAAATGGGAACCTTTTTCAGGTAATATAAGTGGTGCTACCACTAATTGTACCTGTAATAAATTCATTAACTGAATGACGACAAATACACGAGTGTAGGGTTATACGAGAAAACGTGGATGACAACAAGGGAGTAGTAATCGTATTATCGACGCAAGCCGAAATCTGAAAATGCTTTCACTGCATGGATACTGTTTTTAGTATTAAACTATAACCATCTGGGGTATTTCCAAATGACGACGTCCGATGAGCTCCCTTGTTCTTTTTGTCTGTTTGTTTAGGCTGAAGAAATGAATTAACATGCGCCCTTTGTCGAAATCTTTATAGATCACAGTTAACCAATCAGTGTTAAAAAAAGCGTAACACAAATATTGCCTCCAGCCTTGAAGTTTATTTAGCTGTCCTTGCAGACGGTACCCCAGTCTCTGGTCACGCTCAGTTGCGTTGCGTATCATCCGGGTACTCACGGGGGAAAAACAATAACAAAGGCAACAACCAGTCCGTTAGATCAGTGCCCCTTTAAGGCTGGCAACATGTGATTTCCTGCATGTGCGAAAATCATACTAATGTCACAGCATTGCACATGCTCAGAAGCCATTAGCCTTTCACAAAAGGGTTTTCCATGTTAGCAGATATTTGCATATATTAGCATTAGAGTGATTAGAGTGAAGAAAAACAAAATGTCAATCTGAACTTTAGAGTGCATTTCTTACCAGAAATGTCAGTCAACATGGTCATATACATCATGTACATTGTATATGCAACATGCAACAATTTTGACGAGTCCAGTGGTTCAACATATTCACAGTCATACTTTCTTGAGTCACCTTAGGACTCGCAATGCACATTATTTGCACGCATTTACACGTTATGTAGTAACCTATAAATTATTGTTTGTCGTTCACTCACACAAGATGTGTTAAGGGCTCAACTAAGTTTGTGTAGCCTGCAACCTCGGGGTATTCCGGTACTTGTCATGTACGCTAAACGGAACAAAATGCACTCACTAACCTTTACAATTATTCGTGTTCTCTATATCAGATATCATTTATTTTATCAAACAATGCATATTTTACTGATAAAAGTTCATTATTTACATTAGTAGCTCCGAGTAAAAGCCGGGCCTCACGCTCTGTTTGACAAGGGAGAGAACTCCACCGTATCGCGGTACAGAGAAAAGTTGTGTATGGAGGTCCGAATTGGACAAAAAGAAGACCAACCACATGGTATGATCATGCCAGACATCTGTGATTTGTTCTGACGAGTGCTAAGACAGCACAAGTAAAATTCTAAATGTGTTATCAGTAATAGGCATTCATTGCATATTTACCGAAAAGTAAGAGAAAAATATTTTTATAAGTCAACAACAAAATATCAGAAATGATATTCTAAGATTGTTTATAATAAAAAAAATTGGATGACAGTTATTTGTCACAAAATGGAAAAATGTTAAAAGTCAACAATAAATATATAAAAAGCACTCCTAGTATGCCCAAAGTATGTATTTATCTTTAGGCTACTAGTGAAGAAAGTATTTCTAAGTTTGGCATTATGATCTTCCAATAGATTCTGGGCACAGAGCGGGAAAAAATGTGCGGACGACGTAACTTCCGTTACCTTATCAGTCGCCATGAATATGCATATGATCAAGTTCAGGTCAATAGAGAAAGTTTACTTGGGGAACTGTGGGTTATATTGTTGGCCATTGATAGATGCAGGTAAGGCAATATTAAAAATGATGCCAGAAGTAAGTAACTCCTTACTTACAGCAGACGGAACATTCCGAGGAAATTGAAATTGTTTACGAAGTGAGCACTTCCTGGTTACTGATTTGCATTAATAGACAGCTGCTAAGAGGCGTGTCCCGCGTGAACTACCGGAAATCACAAATGCCGCAATACGATGAATGCCAGCGTACCACAGGGGTGCAGGCTAAAACGGCACCTCAGCAAAACGTCACCGATTTCTCTGGCGAAAACGGCACCGCATTTGGCGAAAACGGCTACTATGTGTCGGGCGACAACGGCACCTCTATTTTTAATAACGATAACAACGATTTTGGTACATGGTATTTGATGTATTGAGTACATCTGAAGCCGTAATGTGAATTTCCGATAGGTTTGGTACTGACATGAAAGTTACCGATCACCTCTTCAATAACGGGAGCTACGCATTTCACACAGCGGAAAGGGAAGTCAGTACGGCAAATGTCTCTATAACGGGGCCATAGAAAGTCCGGTTCCACATACACGATGGGTCCACTGGTCACAGTTATCACAGGATACAGCATGTTGATTTTTTTTCTGACATTCTTCTCGCATGCAACACATCGAAACGCCATTGTGAATAATTGTGACCTGACAGCACCATGTTAGGTCTCTTAAATCAGTTTCAGCTTAAATTGAGTAAAGGTACTTAAAACTTCAAAGCGTATAGTGAATAAAAGTCGGTGAGTAAATTGGAGTAGGGGGCTAATTTCTTATTTGTTTTATTTCACAATTATTTGTGTTTGTAACAGACGATGTGAGTTTAATTTCTATTATCTTTCGTCAAAGCATGTTATGTTTTCACCATAAGTTGAGTTGCGTATAAGCTAAGTTGGATTATAGTTGGAGCAGAGGCTAATTTCTAATGTAAACTTGTTTTAACATCTCACAATTATTGGCCTTTACAAGTTACAATGTATAATATCATATTATAATATCATTTATTTGACCAAGGTAAAAAAAAAATAAGGTGCCGTTTTCGCTCGAGTCGAGGTGCCGTTTTCGCTTGAGTCGAGGTGCCGTTTTCGCCAATCGGTGCCGTTTTCGCCCGGTGCCGTTTTGCTGAGGTGCCGTTTTCGCTATAACCCGTACCACAGGGTCCGAGTATATAAGTCATTTCACCAGTTTTAGATGGTGACATAATGCACATTGAAAGCCTGTACTTTCTGTAATAAAAATTGAAGTTTTGATTCATTTTTTCAGATGAACACAGAGGTTCTACAAATGATGAAAACAATAACCTTTGTGCACGTCTTATGCTGGGTGTGACTTAAATCACTCTTCAGAGGGTACTCCTGGTGGCATGGCTGATGACAGAAGAAATCAGTATATATGCATACACCACCTGATTGGTATAGTTGCCACACACATTTCCTTTGTAGCCCTCTTTGAAACTGATGAACATGATTCAGCAGTAACATGGGTCCTTTTATCTTTGCCGTTTACCTTTTCTCTATCCTGTTGTGGTTTCCCTTCCTTCCATACGTTATCATGTTACCTGTTACACATTTAGGGCCCAAATTTATCTTCTGGCTCTCAACATGCTCGACAAGTGGTGGTGTGCTAGTTAAACATTTTGTTAAGGAAAAGTTGTGCACATAACAGTACCCTTGTTTACATCTCGTTTTTCCACCGTCCTTGCACGTGTTCTCGAAATATATCGCGAAAACATCGGCCGTCGAAAATAGGTTACGTCAGGACATCTATCCACCATAAGTGATTGGGCATTTCCGTGTCCAGCTCGTCATCTGGTTTGACAGCATAAATAAATGCCAGTGTTTACAACAAAACCGCTGGCAGTTCCACACAAACGAACTCTTTCAATAACCTATGTTTATGCACTGAAAAACAACTACTAACTTGTCATCATTTTAAAAGCAGACGCCATATTTGATATTACGCGCCATCTAATCAAAATGTCAAGACCAGACGGTAGCTGAGTTAAAATCAGTGAAACAACTAACATGTACGCCTGATCTACTCACAATATCTCTCTGAGAAATGCATTTACCGTTATGGGCTCCTTAAATGCACATTGAACTTTACTCCACCACAAAGACTGTTTCGGAGAAGCACTCGTGGGATAACCCCCGGATGAAAACAAAGGGAGATAAGCACAGTTTGCATTATTAATAAACCGGTCCCACTCTTGGTTCGCGCAGCGAGTTTAGCGCTTTTGTGCCCCAGTCAAAATTGTTCGTGTGCCACGTCGATGAAATAGAAAAAAGGTCCGATCTTCGCGTATTTGCGAAACTACAAATAATTAATAAAGTGCACACAAATAGTAAATACTACGACGAAAATATATCTTCGCCAACCTATACACATTTCAAATGGGTAGTGTGTGTGTGTGTGGGGGGGGGGGGGGAGGGGGGATTTTGTCTCAAAAAAGTTAACTACGGCCTTGATTGGTACGTTATTTGTTTTATTTCCGAAAGTGTTGTGTGCACTGAGACAGCATTTGTAAAACGAGAGTTCCCATATACGCGACCATGCCACACTCTACCATACTGACAAAAATATATTCAGTATCAGTGGGTAGAATGGTCCAATCGAAGGCGCCGCAATTCGCTGTGTGCACAGAGTTGCATCTGGTATGCGCCACAAACGTCTGCTCCCCGCGGTTCACGCAACTGAAGGCCTTCACGTTGATGTACAGATAAACCATGTAATATGTCACGTATGTCCGCATAGTCAACCTTTTAAAAAGGACGCGCCCTTGCTCAGGTTATCTGTAGTTAAGCGTGTGAATATTTGCTACTACCACAAAGATATGCACATGAGGCCCACGCCCCAAGCCTTGACGGCGAAACTATCTACATATATATACATGTACAATGTTGATTTACAAATTGTAAAGAATATCTACACTATTTCTCATACCGTAAGTTATGAGTGTAACGGCGATCAATTGTGCTATTGTCCAACACAGCAATTCATTACGTAATACTATGACATGAATAGCCTTCATCAAATATCCCTTGGGGCTGTGTCGGTAATCCTTCAGCAGGTCCCAGGGTATATTGTCTCGTCGTCTGTCACACACACATGTACACACGCACGCACGCACGCACGCACGCACGCCCACACACACACACACACGAGAGAGAGATAGGGGTTCACCCCTTCTCCAATGAAACACAGGAGTTACATTAACTAGAAACAGATATGTCTGATGTTTGGCATCCATATCCAAATGATTTAGTTTTCTTAATTCTCTACAAAAATCAGACATATCTGTTTCTAATAATTGTAAATCCTGTTTCACTGGAGCGGGATGAACTTCATACCTTTTGTAATATATTAATGTTCTCCCCTGTCAGATCAGAGACCATTGAATAAATTACATTATTGTTTTATGGTCTCTGGTCAGATCTACGCAAGACAAGTTGATTACTTTTGGTTCTATTGTTGGGTTTCCCTCCCTGGGGGAACCTCGATCGTTGTCACGAAAAAGAACTATAGTCTTGTTGATTAAAGCGTTGACAGCCATCTTAGTCTCTGTCACGATCTTGATTTTGGAAATGTCCTCGCGATTATATTACAGACAGACAGACAGACAGACAGACAGACAGGACTCCACCAGCTACAGCAGCTTCGCCTACAACAGAGCAATCGCGGGACATGCCTGCCGTACACCTTTACACACAGTGTGTTCTCAGGCCCGTTGGAGCAGACATTTACATGCACACATTTTCACAAGGAGAACTTTGTTCAGCTCCTCCGTCCACTGGCCAACACCTACATACATACACACAGAGCACTACTGCGACTCCGAATGTAGAATCAGTATAATTTATATACGTTTATGTAGATTCATTAACACTCTTTACAGTTGTGTCTTTTGAAGTGTCTCCCGTGAAGATTCTGAATCATCACTGCCAATGATCGCTGACATGGGTTAATAGGACATGAGCAAAGACACCCCCACCCACATACCCTACACTCTGAGCCACCAAAATGTATGTTACGACCCTAGTTCTGAGAACGCCCCCTCGGTGCCAGGGTGCCGTTATACAAAGTACCTTAGCGCTACAACTGTCGTAAGTCTATGTTAAGGTATGGGAGTTACGATCACCTTAGCGCTAAGCTTAGCTTTGTACAACGGCACCTGGTTCTTACACACGTTCGTGAGAATTCTCATTTGTTCAAACTGTCGGGAGTTGACATATACGCTAACAGGCTCTCCAAAACGTGTTTTCCCTTACAGTTTAGAAAGACTAAAGTCATCTTGGTCGTCTACAATAAACTGAAGGCACCATAACCAAATATTCCAGCTATATGACGGTGGTCTGTAAATAATCGAGTCTGGACCAGACAATCCAGTAATTGACATCATGAGCATCGATCCACGCAATTAGGATATGATGACATGCATCATCAGCCAAGTCAGCGAGCCTGACCAACCGATCCCGTTAGTAGCATCTTACGACAACCATAGTCGCCGTTAGCGACATTGACCGATACACCTGGGAGCTTGTGGGTATAACTATTACTTATTTGCCCAAAGTCACAATTTACAGTATAAATCAAATGCCATTCTTGACAGCTGTAATATTTATAGTAATTGGACTATATGGGAAGACTGAGTCTGGGACTTCCTTCCATTTCACACTGCTGCAATGGGGAATGGAAATAAGCTGAAACTCGTTGTAATGTTAGTCAGTGTTGAAGTATGGAGTAAACTAGAAACGATTTGAGGAAAGGGTCCCGGTACACTTTCATGTTCAAAGAGAACGGTGGCAGTTTTGAGATACAGTATGTGAGATATGTATGTGATTTGTTTATATGATAAATAGGAACATGATAACAGTTTGTGTTGAGTTTGAGTAAACGGCTACATTCCTGAACTTGGATACAAACTAGCGGTGAAGATATCTAGTGTTAAGGATGTGGAGCAGCCTGATAGTAACAACAACAACAACAACAACAACAACAACAACAACAACAACGTTTAAATACATATTTATATATTTTTATCAACATTCCACTTTGTGTCACTATCGTTACTGTTTGCACGATATACAACTGCAGATATCAAATACTTAAATTCTCCGTTGATAAAATAAGAATTTGTATTTCGATGTAAGCAATGTTCGCCCGATATATCATTACTTCTGTTACTGTGTGGGATCGGTCAGTTCAGTTATACTGAACCAAATTAAAACCTTCACATTCCTAAAATTTTAACATTTTGACCAGTTATCATTGTGGGCCCTTATTGTGTATTTGAACAGTAATGGCCACGTATTGTCTTCAGATAACACCCGTTTTTGTGCAGGTGAATCGATCAAAATCATGTGCACAGCACTATAGTGGAAAAAGTGGTTTTTCACGTGCAACTGGTCACGTGGCCATAATACCGCATGTGTTTTCAGCCATACTTGTTAGCAGTCATTAACAAATAAAGAAAAACACAAGAAAACAAAAGTCTTTACGGCCATTTTGTCATGCCACGCCTTTCAAATGTGCAACGTGAACGTGCCATCGGCATGTTGCAGACGGGAACGTCTGCAGCTGAAGTCGCAAGGACGTTTGGTTGTAGTCGACGGACTGTTTATGATTTACAGACGCGACTACAGCAAACGGGTACCACCGCTGATCGCCCTCGGCCAGGTCGACCACGTGTTACGTCACATGCAGAGGATCGTCAGATTGTCTTACGTCTCCTCCGTAACCGATTTTTGACGGCTACATCAACCAGAAATGAACTGTTTAGGGGTTGACTGAGTACGCAAACTGTTCGAAACCATCTGAGAACTGCTCACCTTCAAGCACGACGGCCATACTGCTGGCCGATTCTGACTCAATTACACAGACGTCAACGTCAATTGTAGGCACAGGGACATTTACGTTGGACTCAGAGGAATTGGAATCAAGTCGTCTTCAGTGATGAATCCCGATTTAATCTTCGATTTGCTGATGGTAGGGCGAGGGTGTGAAGGCGCCGTCATGAACGTTACGCCCAGTGTTGTGTACAGGAAGTTGACAGATTTCGAGGCGGAAGTGCCATGGTGTGGGGTGCTTTCTGTGGCAATTAGGCTTCTTGTCATCCGTGGCAACCTCAACGCTGCTGCTTACCGCGACCAGGTACTAGCACCAGAACTTCTGCCTTTTATGGCAGCACATGGACCCGGTTTGATCTTCCAACACGACAATGCCAGACCCCACACAGCAATTTTGACAAGGAAGTTGACAGATTTCGAGGCGGAAGTGCCATGGTGTGGGGTGCTTTCTGTGGCAATTAGGCTTCTTGTCATCCGTGGCAACCTCAACGCTGCTGCTTACCGCGACCAGGTACTAGCACCAGAACTTCTGCCTTTTATGGCAGCACATGGACCCGGTTTGATCTTCCAACACGACAATGCCAGACCCCACACAGCAATTTTGACAAGGAATTTCCTTCAGAATGCGGGAGTCAACGTCATGGACTGGCCGTCAAGGTCTCCCGAACACGTCTGGGATGCTCTTGGCAGAAGTCTGCGCACTCTCCAGAACCAACCACAGAATTTGCAAGATCTTGGCACCATTTTGCAGCAACAATGGCGTCGTCTTCCCAATCATGTGTTCACAAGCATCACAAGGTCCATGCGGAGGCGTTGTGTGGCAGTTGTCAACGTACATGTTGGCCATACACGCTACTGAACTTGTGTGCCATCAGATTCTCGTGCTAGGGACTTATGATTTAAACTGTTGATGTTATTACCGAATACCGTAGGTGCTTGGAACAAATTATGGTTACCACCGTTAATTAAAATCCTTCTTTGGACATTAATGATTAAAAATTACCTACTCTGACACATTTGTCCGTTGTTTATCATATATGGGATTACTTTTAAAAATGGGAAGTTTTTAATTTGACTCAGTATATTTTCCACAACACAATCTTTAGGACATCCACATTTCCAGCGAACATCTTTGTTTGGGTAATGTCTGGGGCGATCCGTAAAGATCCGGGGTGGAATAGGTCTTCAGCAACCCATGCTTGCCGTAAAAGGCGACTATGCTTGTCGTAAGAGGCGACTAACGAAATCGGGTGGTCAGGCTCGCTGTCTTGGTTGATGCATGTCATCGATCCCAATTGTGTGGATCGATGCTCATGATGTCAATCACTGGATAGTCTGGACCAGACTCGATTATTTCTAGACCGTCGTCATATAGCTGGAATATTGCTGATTGCGGCTTTAAACAACAAACAAACAAACAAACAATGTCTGTGGCAAAATTATTTCCTTCTATAGTATTTTCTGGATAAATTGCATAATGTGTTAAACACACCCACCAACTGAATTTCAAAGTTTCGATCCCCAAATGACTACAATTCTGGGGTTACGTGTGTGTTACATCTAACATCATGTGTTACAAACACCTCAAGCGACAACGGCTGACCCATATACACGGGCATGCAAATCGAACAAAGCTCTGTAAAATATCAATAATTTCTTTCGAATTTCCCACTCCACAAGTGTGTAATTCCCATAGGGATCGAAGACCGATCTCTCTGTCTCATGACCAGATAACGGCAGTGGTACTTAGAGTGGAGTCTGTTACGGATACAGATGTATCTATCCCATCCATTTGACCACGCGCGATTCAAGCTTCATCAGGGAAAGGTAAGTATTAATTACCATAGTAACTGCTGTCCTTTTATTTCTCAACTGATGAGTTCCTATGTTCAAATTTGGCTTATAGTGCACGGGATGGATTTATAATGGTAGAATGTTACAGTGGTTGCCGTAGTTATTACGTATAGGAGAAATTGAACATTTAGTGCAATGTTGGTGTATGTGTTCCCGAGAAAGAATAACGGTTGTTTAAAGTAAATGTAAAAAAAACCGCGTTATTGCCCGATATGTTTGTTGTGTGTTTATAGATGAACAATGATATCGTTATGAAACAAACAATGTAAATCTGAGAAAGAGCAATGTGACCAACAAAAGGCTCTGCAGATACACTGTCCAATTGTTCACGTTTGTTATAGGGTTATGGATTAACAATGATATCGTTATGAAACAAATATCAACAATGTTACCATGGGAAAGAGATAAGGTTATACGAGTAAATGTCATACAGATGTGATATCAGATTGCATCGTTGTTGAGTTTTAGGTTAACATTAATATCGTTATGAAACAAAGATCAAAAGTACAATATTTTTTAACGGCACAGTGTTCTCAAGATAAATGGTCATAGTACCGAACACAGTTCAATATAGATATATATAGGTAATGGGGCTTTGTAGTCAAGCGTGCCGGATAGATATCGTTAGACAAAATGTCAAGACAGACTCACGGCTCTTTCAGTTTTCTGTCCGACGAAACTGACAACACGAGAGATGGGACAGTGGTCGGCATATAATTTTCATTGGAAATACTACATTAATACAAAGGCATATAAGGCCACAAATAAGGCCACAAATAAGGCCAGTATGTTAACTGAGAAAGAAATCTGCCCAAACCACGTATCAGTAGTACAGTTAACTACGGTTTATAACGAACACGCTTATAACGAACTGACGGATATAACGAACCTACTTTTTTGGTCCCGACTATTTGCTGTAGTTATGCTGTATATATGCTTATAACGAACTACGGTTACAACGAACTAAAATAGTAGTCCCTTTGAGTTCGTTATAACCGTAGTTTACTGTATCAACTTTTGGCTTGAATCTAAAACCTGGAGCTTATAGAGGATATTTCATGTGTCAAGTGAAATATCATGTTTGTCTCATCGATTGACGGGGGTAAAGAAGATATATCTAAAATAATTAACCATTATCCTTAATATAACCAAGGAAGGTGTGAGTGGTGGGTGCTACCGGTAGATAGGACATGCTTACGCTTTTCGCGAACACCTGGTGTCATCACTGATGTCCCCGCTATTTGGTCTTTTACGCGCAGTGGAATCTGTTTCGTCGGATAATCGAGACTGGTTATTATCTGGCGTTGACGTCATATTAGTATTTATATTCACAGAAAATATTTGAGAAGAGTGGAAGTAAAAGCATTTTCTTCAACTTTTTCATTCAGAAAAGAACCAAGTCCAATTCTGTCAAAACATTTGATTTTTCAACTTCTTACACCACTATCCTACGTGATTCCTTGATCCAGGGGTATTTGATACTACACGTGGTGACCACATGTAGACAATCTGATAACACAATAGGTGACATGCCCGACTTCCTCATTGATAACACCTATGTGAACAGTGGCGATAGGACATTTAGTCAAGAAGTAGGCATTCCCCTGAGCACCACGTGTGCTCCCCACTTTGCTGATCTGTTTCTTTGTGCATACGAGTCAGAATTTAGTCTCGGATTGTTAAAATCAACGCCAGGGGATTTGGCCAAGAAATTAAACGTAAGCTTCAGGTATATCAATTATATATGATATCGATCAATAATGGTCAAATTCCCTTCCACTGATTTACCCACCTGAACTCGAAACAAAAGAGACCAGTGCAGTGCTTCATCTGTTTCATACTTAGATGTATGCATACAGATTCAGAGTGGGAAAAATTATTCCCAAGACAAGAGGGATGACTTCAATAGTAAACTTTTCCGGGGGCTCGGGTGGCCCAGTCGTCTAAGGCAGCGCGATTCGCTGTGCAGAGTTGCGTTCCTTGGGCACGCCAGGGACCTGTATGTGGGTTCGAATCCCGGTTCGCCGCGATTATGTTTCTAGGTTTGTCAGCACCTTACCGTGCTCGTGGGTTTCACCAAAGTGGTAAACGTCTGAGACCTGCATCACTTCGGGCTTTCCTCCCACATTCAGCTGACACGCCGCGATATAACTGTAATATTGTTAAAAGCGGCGTTAAACCCAACTCACTCACTCAACTCTTCCCGGAATATTCCTGCAGCTGCACCCCTTGGTGTCGACATTTCACAACGTTTAAGGTACATTCGAGCATGCTCTTTCCACCAATATTTCAAAGAGCAGCATACTCTTGCTCAAAACTTGTTTGATCAGAGCTACAACTTTCAAGATCTCAGTAGGCCGCTTTCAAATGATGTTATTATGAAACTCGTTTATGTTTAGGGGCGGTCGGGTAGCCTAGTGGTTAAAGCGTTCGCTCGTCACGCCGAAGACCCGGGTTCGAATCCCGACATGGGTACAATGTGTGAAGCCCATTTCTGGTGTCCTCCGCCGTGATATTCCTCACCCTCCGCGTCACGCCAAGACGTTAACAGATGGTACTTGTTGTTTGACCTGCCTGATCCCCGTCATAAGGGGCTAAAACAAGGACTATCCATGTTAAACTGCGGCATAGTATCTCGGTAGGCTAACACTATAAAACCAGCATTAGCCCGGACTAGTACCAGCAGCCACACATACACATGCACGTATGTCGCTATCTGGCTCAATATTCTTTAACGCGATGCTACATCCCATTTCACCTCACACAACACTTCAAGAATTCATTGATTGGGGAACTACCTGTCTCCATAAGAACTGTATGTATGAACCAAATCAGCGAGAATGACCACCCGATCCCGTTAGTCGCCTCTTACGACAAGCATGGTCGCCTTTTACGGCAAGCATCTACCCCGGATCTTCACGGGTCCTTCAAGCCAATTCCAGCTCCACCCCCCGTCGTAATTTATCTATTCTATTGCCAAAGGTGGCGTTAAAACTCGCTCATCACTTCAGTTTCAGGGACGGTTGATACTTATGTTTCCAATAGTACACCCTTTCTCCTTACGAATGCAGCTGAAAAATACTTTAATCCAATCACTCCTTCTTAACATAATAAATTCAGAAAGAGCACTCGTCATAAATAAATGAAGATAAATTATAGAGGCAAGAAACTTGGCAAAGATCTATAATCGTCTGGGAGGCCACATACATCTTAATAGCACGCAAATGTCAGTAGTCGATTTCAAATGCTCCGATTCCTCGGGCCATGGGAATGTCAATAGTTGCTATGAACTATCCAATTAAAACAGACAATAAGTGATGATATACCGTTTGCTTCACGCCGCGCGCACGTGGATATGTTCTCACGTCTAGAGTCTCGAGTCGATGAAAATTATCGAGATTTCGGATTGTGTCCCAAACTTGAAGATTTGAAATCCAATTTCCTCATTACTGTGTTTGTTAGTGAACAAACACCTCCCGCTAATAGCCGGACAAACAAACAGAAGGACATGATAGGTGGGAGCCGTTTACTGCCTCGCCAGACGCCCGGCTAGCACATTGCACGTCAACAACGTCGTCAGAAACGTCAGTGTACAGGGAACTGCTTCAACTGGCATTGCGATCCGGAGCTTTTAAAGTAGCAAGAGCTTTCGATTGAAATATTTCCCAAAAATATTTTAGATTTAGTTCTTGTTTATTTTATTTTTCTCCCGTTGTACATGGTTAAGCTAGTGTCAGCTGGGGTCCAATAGTTCAAATAGTTGACTGAACGCTGACTCGGGGAACTAACAGTAAACTGAATGTTTTTGAATGATACTTGTCTTCATTTGACTTAACAACTATCGATTACATCGACCATGAGTAAAATATTCGAAGCATTGTTCAAGGATGCTGTGTAATCTCTTGGTAAACTGATACTGAATCGGTGATCGAAATGAAAATATTTTGCAAATTAATTTCTGAAAATAATACTCAGTTGGGTAAAATAGGAAAATGTGGAAAAGTGTGTTTGTAGTAGGTTTACAATCTCATTAAAATCAGATCTTTGTTCTCATTTAAATCGGATCTTAGTTCTCGCTATCGCTAAACAAAGATCTGAGGACATTCGATTACGGGTCACGTCAGAACTACCTTTGATCCATCAATCAAAGCGTCGCTTATCAGATCATGTGACCATCGGAAATGTTGTCTAATCATGCAACCTTCAAAACGTTAACACGGGGTATTCCGAACGACAGTTACGGCCCGTGTGACTGATTCCGTCAAAATTATCGTCTATCTCCTGCTTCCGTGGGATAAAAATTTCAACGGAGGAGGCGTTTTACAGTACGTGGGAAGCACTGCCATACAATCTCAACCATATATTTGACATTCCGGAATGTTCGTTTGTTCAGTTTTCAAAATTTTAATCGAGAATTTTGTCAACATATTTTTCAGGCATAGTCTGAAATGGAAGTCGCCAGGTTGAAACGAGTGCCGTTAAGCTCGAGAAAGCTGCTTTCTAATTGGCTGATGGCGACTTCTTCTTTGTCATTTCAGTGGTCGGTCAAAGTTCGCGAAAGGTCGTTCTGGCATGACCCGTAATCTGGCGTGTCGGTAAACTAAAGATAACAACAGTTATCTCATCCCCGATATCACGCTGGACATCGACAGTTTCATTAATTTAATGGAAAGAAAAACATACATATCATCCACACAACTAGTAAATGCATCAACCAGCATTAGTCAAGCACACACACACACACACACACACACACACACACACACACACACACACACACTCACTCACGTGAAGATAAAATAATACTTTTTTAATTATATCCACGTCGCTATAAGTGCAATGATCTTGAACGCGACGATGAACCCAATGCCTCTAATGATGACACCAGGTGTTCGCGAAAAGGAATACAAGACATTTTATCAAATCAACTTTTTTACAGTAATGCAAAAGTACTGTGTTATTTTGATGTGTTTGCCTCTCCTTTCTAGCTATTTCAGTAGTGGAACATGGCTGCCACCAAAGCTGAGCACACGGCGACCCAAACAACCAGCTCCGCGGACATTCTGCATGAGTTCCAGAATACCATGGACGAGTTTGCCAAGGCGAGGTGTGTTCATTTAATCCATTCACATAATCACGGCTATTTTGCCTTTTTCGCCCAAAGGGAATTTGGTTAATCGAAACTGGTTATTCTCTTGCGTTGACGTTTCACAACACTTATGGACGCAAAAGTGAGTGAGTTGGGTTTAACGCAATTATAACAGTATTACAGTTATATCACGACGTGACATCTGTATGTGAGAGGAAAGCCCGAAGTGACGAAGCACTGGTATGATATTTCTGGCGTGCCCAAGGGACGCAACTCTGCACAGCGAATCGCGGCGCCTAAGACGACTGGGCCACCCGTGCCCCCTCATGGACGCAATAGCATCAATGTAGAATGTCATGATTTTTCATAATTAATATCATATCATATATATTTTCAATACAATGAAGTGGCTTCGATATTTGAGGTATTGTTCTTTAAACATTAAATTGTTCTTTCTATTTTATCCTGCATAAGCATCAAATGAGATATTTCTGTATTTTAGGAGAAACTATATAATTATCACTATACAGCACGTGATATGTGACTGTTTCAGGTTGTCGGAAACATTCACACCAAGTCCGCCCATCAAGGTAAGACACACTGAAGCTGGACATGGAGAGTTACGCTTTTTAAGGACTCTTAAAGGCAGCTGGCTGTGCCCTGCTCTATCTCTCACTTGATAGATTATAATACCGATGTACATTTACTGGTAATCCAGGATACGGTGAACCAACCCACAAAATGCGTTTGAGACAACTAGGCGGTGCACAGAATTTGGGCAAACATATTTGGTTTGTTACAGGTAGAAAAGGTGAACGCATGTTGTGCACGTGCAAGTCATGACGATGGAACGGACAACTCCCTCGTGGACGAGAACACACAACAATTCGCTTTTATGCCCGACCAATGATAAGAGATTTTAAGTTATGTGAGAAAAACTTTATAAACAACGAAGTAACTTAACATTCCTGGTACCATGTGTTCCCGTGTATTTTCAGGTGACCAATTGCTTGTTTGGTTTGTTTGTTGCTTAACGCAGCACTCAGCAATATTCCATCTATAGGACGGCGGTCTGTAAATAATCGAGTCTGGAATAGACAATCCAGTGATTGACGTCATGAGCATCGATCAACTCAACTGGGACACGATGACATGCATCAACCAAGTCAGCGAGCCTGACCATCCGAACACGTTAGTCGCCTCTGACGACAAGCATAGTCGCCTTTAACGGCAAGTATGGGTTGCTGAAGACCTATTCTACCCCGGATTATCACGGGTCAGGTGACCAATTGACTTGCCTTTGCATGTGTTTGTGACGGGTCCCACCGATGGTACATGATACGCGCACCTTTCCGTGAACACCTGTATCATCACTATTTGATAGTGATTCAGAAACTCATTCTCTTGATGTAGTCGGAATCGTACAATCGACTCGGCTCTTTCTTATGAATATGGAAAAGGTTTTGTCGATTTTATTTACATGTGGTATCATTGAATCCGCAGCAGTAACGGTTGTTGACCGATTCTCATTGCTTTTACCAAGACCATTATGAACAGCTGTAAGACATACCTACTTTCTCACTAGTGTCTCTAACAATACTGTACATCAAGGACGAGTTATGATAATGACCCTGGGCATACTGTTTAGTTGTGGAAGTCATTAAATGTCATATGAATGAGAACTTTGTTCTTTTAAACCCTTGCTTGTTGTGGGCCTATCAGAACACTACACAACATGCCTAAATGTAGGTGTTTGCAGGCAGTGCTTGATTTTCTAGTAAGATGTAGATACAAATATGGTCCAAAATTCATTGCAAATGATGCAGTCGGACGCGTATAATGAACGCTGGTTCTAGCAGAGATTTCCTACGACTATGGAAAGGGTATTGTCGCTTATATTTGTGTGTCATTACATAGGGAGTTTACTATAAAGCTTTACACATCAAACTGCACCACCCGTCACGAAGTAGACTATTATCTTAAAAAAGATAACGGTTAGATTTATAAAGTCGCATCTTGACCAATCTTTGTTTGACTGACTGATGTTTTCGCTTTTTAAAGGATGTGTCCCCGTCTTTGTCAACGTCAGGCCGTCGCCGACCGGGGGCTGCGCATACTCCCCACCGTCTGTCCATGGCCACCATTGGCTGCCTCCCCGACAACGTCCAACAAGTAAGACAACGTGATGAAGTCGGCGGCATATGCGTGTTTGCCGTTCACAATCGGCCCTTTCTGCACCTTAACCCTTCATGTATTGGGTTGCCATGTTTTTCGCCCCAAATATTACGAACCCAGTAAAGCAAATTGATTGCAAAATGACTAGGAGGCTTAATATCTAAATATTTATGTTTTTGTCCGATACAAATGTTAAACTGTCATGTTCCATTAGCTGTTCCATATGTTTGTTTGTTTGTTGTTTAACGCCGCACTCAGCAATATTCCAGCTATATGACGGCGGTTTGTAAATAATCCAGTCTGGACCAGACATCATGAGCATCGATCTACGCAATTGGGATACGATGACATGCATCAACCAAGTCAGCACGCCTGACCACCCGATCCCGTTAGTCGCCTCTTACGACAAGCATGAAGATCTATTCTAACCCGGATCTTCACGGGTCCTATTCAATACGTAGAATAATTCCACAATCGGCTTATTTCATAAAACGCAAAATGTACGTAACGTATGGTAATCAATGAGTTCTTTAGACAATGTATTCTGTACGTGTTCTTCAGGAAATTTGTTCTTCAGTAAACGTGTTACACAGGCAACGTGTTCTACAGGCAGTTTGTTTCACAGGCCATACAGAGCTTCTCAATTCAAGACGGTCGACAGCACATCACCATAGCGTTTCCACACATGGTAGAAGACTTGCGGCAGTGCTCCAATGTTTCCTCCAAATCCCCATTTGGACATGTGATATTCTTCCATCATGAGAAATCCTTCATCCAAGGATTTGATTCCTTTTCCACATTCTATAAAGACAACTGGTATGTATCCTTCAAGAAGTGAATGGGTGGACGAAATTCCATAAAGAAATTGTTCATATCGTCATTGTCACAACATAATTGGATTTCTCACATCGTCCCATTTTGATATTCGAACCCGAGCGCACTGACCACACGGCAACCCAATCACTCTATTGATTACACAATATATATGTGCAGTTGTACTGACGGTAACTGACCCGTGAAGATCCGGGGTAGAATAGGTCTTCAGTAACCCATGCTTGCTGTAAAATGCGACTGTGCTAGTCGTAAGAGGCGACTAACGGGATCGGGTGGTCAGGGTCGCTGACTTGGTTGATGCATGTCATCGTATGCCAATTGCGTGGATCGATACTCATAATGTCAATTACTGGATTGTTTGGTCCAGACTCGATTATTTACAGACCGCCGTCATATAGCTGGAATATTGCTGAGTGCGGCGTTAAACAACACACAAACAAACTTGTGGTAACTTCAGTGATTTCAATGATATAATATGTTAAAATCTTCCAATATGTTTCACTTGTGAAATATCCTTGTGTGATAAAGAGTTGACAGCATTACGCACATTGAACACTATAGATCCGACGTCTTTGATCTGATAAAATAACAATGAAATATATTGTGCTCAGCAAATTCATTTCACACTTAAGATATAGATGTGACACTGCTCAAGCACGGATATAGGATACAGAGTACAGGATACAGCTGAATGCGAATAATCCGCAAAGCAAACTATTTGCGTCTGGTGGTCATGTTCACTGTGTTGCTTATGTTGTCATACGTTTACAGCTCGGTACTCGGCAACCATTAAACCTTCAAGCAATTTGCGAATATGAATTGAGTATGATTCAAAATGAGGAGGTGTTCAGTACTGTCTCCCCAAATGTGTGTGGAAATGTGTGCGTGTGTATAAACGTCTACATGTCTGTATGTATTGTACAGTTCCAGGTACCGTGTGTTACTGTTGACCCTTCTGGAGACCGGCAGCACTGTCGGCATCACGCGACACTTCCAGTCTCTTCTCGGACTGCTGCTGGACACCAGGTCGCCACTGTCCAGTTGGAACATGCCGGTACGAATCAGAAAAGTCATTTCAGATCTCTACTCTGCAAACAAAAAGAAACACAAAAATGATTTTATATGTATTTTTTAGTATATTATTTGAATAATCAACAGATTCTAAGCGATTGTTCAAAATTAGTACACATTGCCCTTGACCCTGATTCCATATGACACACATGGCAAAGTATATTTTCAAGAAAATGATCATCTGTTCTCAATTATCTTGTATGGCCACCATTAGAGTCCAAAACTGACTGGCATCGTCGTTCCATGGAAGCAATCAGATCCCGAATTGTTGCATGGGGAATGTTCACCCACTCTGTCTGCGGCTTTTGTGCCAACTGTCGGAGGTTCTGTGGTTGATGCTGACGTGCTCGCAGTCGTTGATCCAGGGCATTCCATAAATGTTCGATTGGATCTTGTGATTCCTGACAAAGGCTGTTGTCAGTCTTGCCGTGTTAGGTCGGGCGCTGTCTTGTTGGAAAATGACGTTCGCTTGTTGCATCATGGGAAGGACGTGTGGCCCAAGAATCTCATCCGTGTAACGTTGTGCCGTTAAATTCCCCAGAACTTGCACCAAGTCTGTTCTACCAGTGTAGGAGATGGCTGCCCACATCATCACACTGCCACCACCAAATCTGTACACTTCCTGTATGCAGTTTCGTGCATAACGTTCCCCGAGACGCCTGTCTCCATCTCAGTTGTGGCCATAGTCTGTGACCTTGACACCTTTGAGGTCGCAGCCGACGGTGCAGGTCCGTCAGAATGACATCTCGTCACTGGAGTATAGTTGCACATATGCAAACAAAAATCACATCTGGGAGAAGTCGTTTGGTATTGATGTCGCCAGTTCGCCTTTACTCCTCTCTATTCCCTAACTGCCTGGTTCAACACTTCCCTTAGCATGGTATATATATATATATATATATATATATATATATATGGCATATACAATGTGTATGATTAACAGTATCCTTTATTTAGGAGATAAACATACTGTGTTTTCAATGTAGAGCTAGGTTACCTGTAGATTTAACCGCGCTAAATTGAATTTGGAACCGAACGCACAGCGTGAGGTTTCAAATGTTAAATTTAGTGCAGCTAAATCTACAGGTAACCTAGCTCTACATTGAAAACACAGTATGTTTATCTCCCTTCTACCATGACTAAATAAAACGCGAACTCTTTAGTGTTAGCAAATATACTGAGTGAAGCGGCATGGGTTGAGTTCAGTGTTTTGAGTGGGTTATCGATCTGAATTACGGAATCACCGAACAAAATATTGCGCTGTATATACTCAAGCAGTTTGTTTACACCGTAATACTTCACTCGAACATATGATAGGCATTGAAAGCATATAAGCACGGCAACATGGTAAGTTAACATGAGGTGGGCATCCCTAAAGAAAACAAAGCAAGCTTTGCAAGGCTTTCGCTCTACATCGCGCGTCACTATTATGACGTCGTATCGCTCATTGTGACGCAAAAGATATGACGTCACAGTCGTATATAGAAAAGTGCCAAAATTCCAAGCTCTCTGTTGTCTCCAAAACGTAAATACATTCCCTTTGTAGATTTATATCATGTTTTCTGCATGAAATGTATTGCCACACATCCTTTGAATATTGTAGTAACCGCATCTGTGCATTTTGTAACCTGTAATTGTAGATATAATTATTTAAATATGCCTACCGACAATGACTGAAAATAATACTATTCTATGAATATTAGCTTCCGCGGTGTTGCGGCCGTCAAACCAGCTGTTTCAATCAGAGGGGGTTTATTGTGATTTAATAGCTTCCGATTGACCAATCAGAATCGAGTAAATTTCAAATTCATGGTAGAATCGCCTTTGTTTAGCTTTTATTTTTTGAATAGGTGATATTTATGTTTTAAATGATTGCTGTTTCAGGTTTGTGTTACTGACGTCACGGCGTCACAATTGGATGACGTCATCAAAACATGTGCACAAACTGTCCTGGATATCCAAAGTGAAAACCTTACAAAGACCTACCCCTCAGAAAGTATATCTGCGCTGTACAAATACGTGAAGGTAATAGCAAACACCACACACGTTTCTTAAATCATTCCTGGATACTGGGCGGAGGAGAGAGTGTGAAAATAACCTCCCTAAATACACTATTTCATTGCTTCGGGCGAAACACTATACATGTATCTCCTTGTTTCTCAAGACTCTTCCAGTAAATCGAAGTGATATTATTATCAGAAAAAAACATGTTGATTGTATATGTCAGTAAATATTCAATGTGGCGAAGACAACGTTTCTATCCGCGACCTCTTCGCTGTGTGTTTACATTAACGTTTGTTTGAATTCAACGAATTTTGTTATTTAAAGGAAAATATTATATCACCCAAGTTCTGCACCTACCGCGCCCACTTGGAGACGTCACTTTACAATTCTCTGAAGAAGTGTTCCTACACGGATCCCAACCAAGTGTTTCAGCTAATGACGTACATTCAGTCAAGGGATTGTAGTGAAAAGGAATTCCTACAAGTTCACGCTTTTATGCAGGCAAGTTACCATATATGCCATGTGTTACCCTAGGCTTACGTGTTCAAAGCCAGTAAGATTTGTTTGTTTGTTCGTTGTTTAATGCCGCACGGCAAGCATGGGTTGCTGAAGACCTATTCTACCCCGGATAGGTCTTCAGCAACCCATGCTTGTCGTAAGAGGCGACTAAAGCGATCGGGTGGTCAGACTCGATGACTGGGTTGATGCATGTCATCTTATCCCAATTGCGTGGATCGATGCTCATGATGTCAATTACTGGATTGTCTGGTCCAGATTAGATTATTTACAGACCGCCGTCATATAGCTAGAATATTGCTGAGTGCGGCGTTAAACAACAAACAAACAAACGTCTATGCATTGAGATAGTCATATCTATCTATGAATAAATCTATTAATTGTCGGGGGAAAAGTTCAATTCAGCAATTTCAGTGTTAATCATGTCGGATTTATAATAGAATACTTTTGAAATTGGGTCCATTTCCATTGTCCGCCACCTAATTTTATTAGTGTTGTCAGTCATATGTGCCATTCGCCCATATTGTATTGTACACACATAGACACCATATTTAGCATTTTACAGAGTGATATTGTTAACTGATGAAATATACATGAGCGACATGCACGTTACACTTGTATATGAAACTATCATCTAAATGTAAATCAGAGCCTGTTAGGTTTTCCTATTCATGTGACTCCGTCAGGTAATCGGCATGTAGTGAGTGAACAGAAACATGTCTGAGTGAGTGAGTATGGTTTTACGCTGCTTTTTTAGCAATATTCCAGCAATATCACGGCGGAGGACACCAGAAATGAGCTCCACAAATTGTACCCATGTCGGGAATCGAACCAGGGTCTTCGGGTGACGAGCGAACGCTTTAACCACTAGGCTACCCGACCGCCCCAGAAACATGTCTGTACAGTTCATAATGAGATATAACCCTTCATAGAAGAGTCCACTCTCCAGAAAGGGATATTATCGTTTTTGTCATATACTGTACAAGCTGAATATAATGTCACAGGTTATAATGCCAACATGGTTATAATGTCACTGGTTATAATGCCAACATGGTTATAATGTCACTGGTTATAATGTCAACATGGTTATAATGACTTATTTTTCAAATGGATAAAAGGCGGAGTATAACTCCCCAACTGCATGCCCAGTACTTTCTTACACTGAGGCATGGCGTTTTACAGTTAAATATGCAATATGGGAATAAAGCAGACCCAACTGCATGTCCCATTGACCCAGAGCCACGCAGATATAACAACATGGTTGATGAAGATTATGTAAACTGCACGGAGCTGCTATTTACGTAAGCATTAACGCAATGAAATTCGTGTTCACCGAATCATTGAATGACATCAATGCTGGCACGATCTCCTTAACGTCCGGCCATTCCGTACCCTGCATTGTTGCAAGCCTTGCCTTGATGGGATCGCAGAAATAAGCTGCTGTATTCATTTTCTCACGATAAACATATTGAATTGCAGAAAACGAAATTGATTATGTAATTTTTCCATGGAATTTGTTATTTGACTACCCTTTCATCTGCAGCATCTGCAGGATACTGTGCTTGTACCAACTTGCACCAGGTATCCGTGAATACGTTATCCAAGGTCCAAGGAGATATTTCCAAAAGAGTGAGTGAGTAAGTTTGGTTTTACGCCGCGTTTAGCAATATTCCAGCAATATCACGGCGGGGGACACCAGAAATGGGCTTCACACATTGTACCCATGTCGAGAATCGAACCCGGGTCTTCGGCGTGAGGAGCGAACGCTTCAACCACTAGGCTACCGGACCGCCCTATTCCATAAGATGAACGTGAGTTCGAGATATATGGAAAACAAAGAGCGGGTGGTGCGAAACCTTTTTTCCAGGTTACTATGACTGAGATGATGACGGAGATGGGGGTAATCGAGGATGACGGCAAATACAAATACTGTTTACGCATCAGAAGGTTAAAGGTTGAACTGTTGAGTGTTCATGTTCGTATAGCTGTCACGTGACTTCCGACAACAAGCGAGTAAAAAAATAAAACCCTACAAACCCCACTAGTATATATCTGACCCGTGTAGATCCGGGGTAGAATAGGTCTTCAGCAATCCATGCTTGCCGTAAAAGGCAACTAACGGGATCGGTTGGTAGGGCTCGCTGACTTGGTTGATGCATGTCGACGTATCCCAATTGCATGGATCGATGCTAATGATGTCAATCACTGCATTGTCTGGTCCAGACTCGATTATTTTCAGACCGCCATCATATACCTGGAATATTGGTGAGTGCGGCGTTAAACAACATATTAACAAACAAAGGTATATGTCTCTTATGATCTGCAAATCATCTGTTTTATCAACCAGTCAGCCAGTACAGAAGCGCCACTTCGGGACCTGTGGTTGTCACTGACAAGGACCAATCTCATCTACAAGTTGTTCCCAGCCTCGAGGGGTTCCCACACGTTCCCAGTCGTTCCCCACCTTGACATGTCGGCTTTGCGGGAATTTGCCTGCTTCCATAACACAACACTCAAAGACGTTCTCCAGACTGTCTTCAGGGCACTGAAGTTCTGTGGAGAGACACCGTTTGACAATACGGGGAGTACGTATCTATAATGGTTTCTCTTTTATCGTACAATACTTGAATTATCTAGTTTGTTTGTTGTTTGATGCCGCACTCCAAGATACTCTAATGATCAGTTAAAATTTACCAGTTAAATCTTTAAGAATAGAAAAGTGTAAATCCCTTCCCAACTCTAGCATAAATGATTTTTTTACAAATTGCCATTTTGCTTAATGGTGAAATTGCACGAATGTCATTCTCTGTTTATATGTAAACATTATCCTGCTGTAAGTGAGTGAGTGAGTTGGGTTTAACGCCGCTTTTAACAGTATTCCAGTTATATCGCGACGTGTCAGCTCAATGTGGGAGGAAAGCCCTAAGTGATGCAGGTCTTAGACGTTTCCCACGAGCACGGGTATGGTGCTGACAAAGCTAGAAACATAATCGGGGCGAACCGGAAATTGAACCCACAATCATAGGTTTCTGGGGCCAAGTATGTTCCTTTCCACAAGACTGCGGGGGCACGGGTGGCCCAGTCGTCTAAGGCGCCGCGATTCGCTGCGCAGAGCTGCGTCCCTTGGGCACGCCAGAAACCTATGATTGTGGGTTCGAATCCCTGTTCGCCCCGATTATGTTTCTAGGTTTGTCAGCACCATACCCGTGCTCTAGGGTTTCACCGAAGTGGTAAACGTCTGAGACCTGCATCACTTCGGGCTTTCCTCCCACATTAAGCTGACACGCCGTGATATAACTGGAATACTGTTAAAAGCGGCGTTAAACCCAACTCACTCATAGGTTTCTGGCTTGTCCAAGGGACGCAACTCTGCACAGCAAATCGCGGTACCTTTGACGACTGGGCCACCCATGCCCCCTCCTGCTGTAAGAAAACAGTAGACTGAAATCCCAGTTTACGATATCTTGCCTATTGCATACGACAAAATGGGAGTATCACGGCATCGTTCTTGAAACTATGATGTCATAATTTATCACCGCAATCTCGTCACGTAATCATGTGTGACATCAATGAAGGAAGACTGGCGGTAGCACGGAAGTGCCCATGTTTATATTGAGCTTCTAAATATATCTAGCACACTAGTTAAGGGACAGGAAAGATTAAATCATTTGGTACATTTTTAACATACTTATCTTTGGAAAAAAACTTAAATACCCTCTATACATACTAGTACTTGCGTATAGGCAGTGGTGATAGCAGTGAGTATTTTGTTGCCTTGATTTCAGCCAAGAGCGACACAACACCAGTCCCCACATCATGGCGTACAGATCACCAGGTGGACAGGGGCGTACTGAGTTCAGCCTCAAGATACACCGTCACCCAAGGACATCATGTCTTGTCACCCTTCCTTTCGTTTTCTGGACTAATTTGTCCATGGGAACCTCACAATAAATTCTAGAACGTTGCATGGTTTTTGTTTGATTCATATCGAGTAGCCCGGTTCATATAAAGCTTCATCACTCGTGAACATCCAATGAGTGAGTGAGTGAGTTGGGTTTTAGGCTGTTTTGAACAATTATATATTACTGCCTGTCAGAGGGAAGCCCGATGTGATACATGTCGTATAATTTTACCACAGACAGACAGAGTTTTATTCAGTATATACACGTATTTAGTATTATTCACTCAGTGAAATCCTTTAGCAAGAATATGTTCTGACAAACCTAGAAACTTAATCAAAGCGAATTCGGGATTCGATCATACGATCTTAATTTTCTGGCAAGCCCAAGGGACGCAACTCTGTACAGCGGATTGCGTCGACTTGGACGACCTGGCCAGTCGTGACCTTTTATCGCTCTTAACCTTTCAGTGACACTAGCACCTGCACCGTGTTTTCAAAGAGGAGACCTTATTAGCAATGGTCATAACAGCAAGAGATCCTGACCGATACGTGTCTGGGATCACTAGGTTTCGCGTTAATCCAGACGATAATGTACTACTAAAAATAAATCGACAAAACCCTTTCCATGTCCCAAAGAAATCTCTGCATAAAGCAGTACGATTCCGACTATATCATGAGCATGTATTTATAAATCGCTATCAAATTGTGATGGTACCAGGTGTTCGCGAAAAGATGAGCGTATCCTGCCCTACCGGTGGCACCCGTCACAAACACACGCAAAGGCAAGTCAATTGTTCATCTGAAAAAAAACGGGAACATATGGTACAAGTCAAAATAGGGAATTGCATCGGACATCATTTTTGCAACGATGCGTCAGATTTGGAAATGTCCTCCACATGTTTACCATAAAACAATTTGAAAGCTTTCTGAGGCCTTGAATGTTGTAACCTTGATCAAAAAACATCTGGGCGAGAATCGTGTGACGCTCTTTGAAATTTTGGTAGAAAAAACATGCTCGATTGTATGTCAAATGTAGTGACATGTAACCACTAAAGGCTGGAACTGCTGGAATATTGCTCTACATGAATGAAAGTTGACTGTTGGAAACTTGAAGTCATCCCTCTTGTCATACATGGAGAGTGTTTTGTCACTCTGGATCTTCATGCATAATCCTAAATATGAAACAGATGAGGCGGTCTCACTGGTCTTCTTTATTTCTAGTTCAGGTGGGTAAATCAGTGGAAGGGAATTGGCTTTTTGAGTGCTATTGAACGATATCAGATCATCGATATACCTGAAGCTTAAGTTAAACTCCTTGGCCATATCACCTTGTTTTGACTTTGCCCGTCCGAGCCGAAAATCCGATTCAAATGCATAAAGAAACAGATTCGCAAGAAGGGGACCACAATTGCCTTCTGGCCTGTTTGGGATGCCTACTTCTTGCCTAATGCCTCACCCCAAATTTTTACGTAGATGTCTATTCGGATAAACCTCCGGATAAAAAACATTGACATGGAGAAATTTGACTTTGTATGCATATATTCATTCCCAGCTGAAATCGTATGAAAGGTGGGATTTCCGGAGGGATTAGCGAGGTTTCATGATATCTGGTTTCTTGTATCAAGCGTTCCGGATAAATAGGGTTCCACACTAAGTAGGTCATTGATTAATGAAGCTGTCTGGATTAACGAGTTGCCACTGCATTTTACAGTATGGAGTAACCTAGCGGTCCGCTTTAAACAGGTTCCTAAGGACATGTTACTTTTGATTCATGAGGTTGTTCTATTCAGCGAGGTTCCACAGTATATAACCCATTTTATATCAGGCTCTGTGGGTCTTGCAGTATCAAGCAATTGTGACCGGTTTAACGAGGATTTACTGTCCATAACATTCTTGCATTATAAAAAAGCGACAAAACCCTTTCTATAATCAGAGCATTAATGGCGTTCTTAGTACTAGTATATAGCAAATCTTGTATCTGACTATCTCGATATCGAGGTTCCACTTTTAATAACTCTTTGGGTACTAGTCTAGCCGCAATAATGAGGTTTCATTTTTCAAAGCGGTATCAGAGTGTTGGGCTCGCATTTAGTCAAGCCGTATGGCTTTGTGTTAATTATATCCCATCGCCAATTACTAGTTTTATGCCACCCCCGGTCCAAACCGATGCCATCATTAAAACAGGAACAGTCATTTGATGAGGCCGCCAGTCGCGCACATCTCAGCAATAAAACACAAGCCTTACAGCAGCTTGCCACACGCTCACCGCGCCAGTCCAAGCCACGGTCCTGTCCGCCTTAGTTGCTGTCCTGTGATTGGTTCGTTGGTTGGTTGTTTAACGCCGCACTCAGCAATATTCCAGCTATATGACGGCGGTCTGTAAATAATCGAGTCTGGAGCAGAAAATCCAGTGATTGATATCATGAGCATTGATCCACGCAATTGGGATTGATGACATGTATTAACCAAGTCAGCGAGCCTGACCACCCGATCCCGTTAGTCGCCTTTTACGACAAGCATAGTCACCTTTTACGGCAAGCATGGTTGTCCTGTGACGATCTGGTGAATGACATAGGATCGATCTATCCGGACCCTCTACCACCCTGACACGAAGATACACAACATACTTGTCTAGAGTTCTTAATCCCAATCCCGCTCCTTTAACCCCAATAACTTGTCAAACTTACATTAAAATATATTAATAACTTTATCGTTTGTTTGTGTGTTTGTTGTTTAACGCCGCACTCAGCAATATTCCAGCTATATGACGGCAGTCTGTAAATAATCGAGTCAGGACCAGACAATCCAGTGATTGACATCATGAGCATCGATCCACGCAATTGGGATACGATGACATGCATCAACCAGGTCAGAGAGCCTGACCATCCGATCCCGTTAGTCGCCTCTTACGACAAGCATAGTCGCCTTTTACGACAAGCATGAGTTGCTGAAGACCTATTCTACCCCGGATCTTCACGGGTCCAAATCACACGTACGTACATGCAGAGGATAACATTATAAACGTACTGCGTAAAAAACGTTTCTCCGTTCCTAAACGGATAAATTGTTAATCCTGATGTAAGTAAACATTTATTACTTAATTTCATAAATTTTCTTCCATGTCGCAGTGACAGAGGACTCCATTTGTTAGCCTTCGGTGCGGTTTGCGCGGGTTCAATTTCGTGAAATTGAGTGAGTGAGTATGGTTTTACGCCGCGTTTAGCAAGATTCCAGCAATATCACGGCTGGGGACACCAGAAATGACCTTCACACATTGTACCCATGTCGGGAATCGAATCCGGGTCTTCGGCGCGAGGAGCGAATGCTACCCCAACGCCCCTCGTGAAATTGATATCTCATCTAGGGAAAGGGGAAAAAGAAGTTCAGTCGATGCAACCTGGTGTGTAACTAAAAATGTACGGTTTAAAATCGACCCCCATCTCAACACACACAACACACACAACACACGCACTCATCCTCCCACGACATCAATCAACAGGTGTAATTATTTCAGGTATTGATCACGTTCAGAAGAATCTAACAGATCGTCAGTACAGCACGACAGTAGACACACACATATGAGGATGATTGACGATGCACAAACATTCGTCCTGTTCCAAGTGGTTCACAAATACGAATGAGACCCTTGTTGGCTGGTTAAACTGCCGGATCATAACCAGGAGTACATGTACACGTATACACAGCTCCAGGGAAATCTGTTGGCAATGTCTAACATTTCACTTCAACAATGTCGTGTCCTGCTCCTTGAGCAGAGTGAGTGAGTGAGTGAGTTTGGTTTTACGCCGCTTTTAGCAATATTCCAGCAATATCACGGCGGGGGACACCAGAAATGGGCTTCACACATTGTACCCATGTCGGGAATCGAACCCGGGTCTTCGGCATGACGAGCTAACGCTTTAACCACTAGGCTACCCGACCGCCCCTCCTTGAGCAGAGGATGTCCGTGTCGAAACACGGCGTTAATTACTCATTCTTAGAATTCACCTTCTGGTTTATTTAGGCGACATATGTCTCTATCTAATTTCTTATCTGAAGTTGAGTTTGCCACATTTGTCGTGTACATTATCACTTATCTCGACCATAATGGGAAAGTTAAAACACCACTCAAAATAATGTCCTTATGAGGGGGCACCGGTGGCCCAGTCGTCTAAGGCACCGCAATTCGCTGTGCAGAGTTGCGTCCCTTGGGCACGCCAGAAACTTATGTTTGTGGGTTTGAATCCCGGTTCGCCCCGATTATGTTTCTGGGGTTATCAGCACCATACCCGTGCTCGTGGGTTTCTCGTCTAAGACCTGCATCACTTGGGGCTTTCCTCACACATTAAGCTGACATGCCGTGATATAACTGGAATATTGTTAAACGCGGCACACAACTCACTCACTAACTCCTCATTTCATGTTGTCCACCTGACATTTATGTAGTATTTATACAATGCATGTGCATATATAAGCTGATCATTTTGACCCCGAGACATGTCATTAGCTCTTTACAAAGTGTTGAACAGATATTATTCGACAAGGTATATCTGTTTGTTATTCCTTTACTGATTATTTGCTCTTCGTTGCATTCTTGGATTGTCGCACAATATTATTTTGAACGGAAAAAATCGATGATACCCTTTCTGTACACGAGCGACGTTCTTACGATAATCGTCAATCAAACAATAAAAATATTCTGACCAAACAATAGTTCTATTCATACTTTGTTTTAACAGTTCCAAGAATATTTTCTCAAACAAAACCAACAATTGAGCTGGACGTTACATTTCCCATGCTGTTGTATACCGTTACCCGTATTTATTTAGCATTGTTTTTTACCTTCCGTTGATGTTTACATTCATCAGGTTTATGTACTTTGTGTGTCCTTAAGACATGCCCCTGGGTCTCGTCATGAAAGGATGCTCCTCGAACTACATCAATACATCACCAAATGTAAACATAATTATGGCTCGTGTCAACATCGTACAAATGAGACAATGGTTTAAAACCACTATCTCGCAAAGTATACGTAATTTGTCTGAAGATCCTGAGTATGTAATCATA